TCTGGCAAGGTCAGTTCCATTTTTCATGCTTCTCTAAGGTTATGTATTAGGAGATGTTCCTTTTCTCACTCTAGTCTTGTGTTATTGGAATCAGAATTGCACGAATACTGAGAAAGGCAGCTCTTTCTATACGTTCAGGAGGAATTCTAGATCAGTGAGATCTACGATTCTTCATTTTCAGGTTTGTCATGTGCACCATTACACTTAACCCCTGTCTCTGCTTTGAAGTCTAATTCTAGGCTAAAGTAGTTTCTCTTCTGTATTGCAGTTGAGGAATTTGGTGTGGGCGACATCAAAACATGATGTTTACCTCTTGTCCAACTACTCTATCAGCCACTGGTCTTCTTTGACAGGTTGCAGGAATGAAATTCTGAACGTTAAAGGTCATGTGGCTCCGTCTGAGGTTCGATTCTCAAAGCCTTATCCAAACCATCTGACTCGGGGACTCCCTTTGGTCTCTGTTGGGTTTATCTAAAGGCGACGTTCCATATTTTTTCAGAAACATCCCGAGAGTTTGTTGGAAGGGTTTACAGAGACTCAAGTTAGCACTCTTGCAGTGAAAGAAAGGCTGCTAGTTGCTGGTGGGTTTCAGGGAGAACTTATTTGCAAGGTTAGTTTAAAGATTGTAGCAAGTTATGGTTATTATTGGTTTATAATATCAAAGAAGTTGCTTATTCGTGTTCTGATTTTGTGTTCTTGGTTTCCTCTGCAACCAGCATCTTGATAGACCTGGTGTGAGCTTCTGCTCGCGCACAACTTACACGGAAAACGCTATCACCAACGCTGTAGATATATACAGAAACTCGAGGTACGCTTCGCCTTTTATTACTAATTTTGCTGGCTTTGGACTTACGAGTTTATACGAAAGGCCAAACAGAAACTGAAACTGTTTATATGGTCTTTATTAGCGGCGCACTTCATTTCATGGCCTCAAATAATGACTGTGGAGTCAGAGACTTTGATATGGAGAGATATCAGCTTGTCCAACTCTTCCGTTATCTCTGGCCCGTCAACGTAAGGTCACTTAGTTTCTTATTTTTTTTTTTGGCTCCTGGAAAAATAAAACTCACTAAATTATCATTTTGAAATCTTTAACAGCATAGCTCCTTAAGTCCTGATGGGAAACTAGTAGCAGTGGTTGGAGATGACCCGGATGGTCTATTAGTAGACTCAAGTAACGGACAGGTACGTCACATTCTTCCTTCTTCCAGTTACTGTCTATATACTCCGGTTAGGCCTTGTAAATCTTACTTTTTTCGTATCTTGGCAGACGGTGGCGACGCTAAAAGGTCACTTGGATTTTTCATTTGCATCGGCTTGGCATCCGGAAGGTGTAATGTTTGCCACAGGAAACCAAGACAAGACCTGTCGTATTTGGGACACGAGGAATCTCTCAGAATCGGTCGCAGTCCTGAAAGGTAACCTTGGAGCGGTCAGGTCCATCAGGTTCGCACCGGACGGACGGTACATTGCAATGGCCGAGCCAGCAGATTTTGTGCACATCTATGATACAAAAACAGGCTACAAAAAGGAGCAAGAGATTGATTTCTTTGGAGAGATCTCTGGGATTTCGTTTAGCCCAGATACTGAGTCTCTCTTCATCGGTGTTTGGGACCGGACTTATGGAAGTCTCTTGGAGTATGGTCGAACCAGAGACTACTCTTATCTCGATTCATTACTTTGATATAAAATTATAAAGAAACTTGCGTAAAATAATATGTTATATGCCTTCTTGGTTAGGTTTCATAATCATACCGACAAAATGAACAAAAACAAAAGAGAGACTACTTCGTTCGTTTCAGAAGCTGTTCGTTTGTGTAATTTGATTTGTTGTGCTGTTAAAAATGTATATTTTCCATAGACTTGGGATAATAATAAGTCAAAACTCAATCCTTCGAAGATCTTCTAATATTTGGTTTTGAAGATTTTTAAAACAAAAAGGTCACATACTGTATTTGGATATGGCCAATGATTTATAGGCTAAGTTGAGCATGATTGTGTATGTTACAAGAATATTCTTCTAGTTATATAAGGATTTATATAACTGTTTTGATTCTGTGAAAACGTGTTTTTCACGGTTTCATACAGAGATTTAGGTCTAAATTTATCGATCGTCCTTTTTTTTATCAAGTTTAAATCTCTCACAACTTGAATGACTAGTAGGAGTGGCCCTCCACTACTAAGTTTTTGCCCACTAATTATCAACTTTTAATTTGGTACAAAATCTAATGTACGTAATATATAGTTGTAAGTTGACCCAAAAAAAAAGAAAGTACATAGTTGTATTTTTACATACTGGTAATATAAGAACTTAGTAGATGATCCGTAGGCTTTTATCTCCAAGCGGCATTGCTCCATTAAGCTTTCGTCTATTGCCAAAAACAAAACTTAAGGTTTCCCTTCCGATAAACTGAAACTGAAACACGGCTAAAATGGAAAATGTCTATTTTGAAAAATACAAAATTGTAAACATTTTGGGAATATTGTATATAGTTTAGTTAAACATATAAATCATTAAAAAAACATATAAACCCGGGCGAAGCCGCCAAAAAAAAAACATAATGTTCAAAAAATAAATAAAACATTTTTCAAGTATTGTTATAACTCCATTAACCAAAAGTATATATTTGACTATAGTTTATCAAGAGAAATATCTTTAAACTCAATAATGGTAAGACGAATCACATATAATACATTAAATTAATCATAAGTTTACTCTACATAATTAATTAATCATTTAACTTTATTATTTGTTTAGTAATTATTTACTTATTATGTTTTAAACAAATAAGAAGGAAGTTTTCATCAAATTTTTAAAACGGAAAAGCGAGTTTCCAAAATAATTTTTTTAAAACATCAATAATGGTAAGACGAATGTCATATAATTAATTAAATAAATTATTAGTTTATTCTATATAATTAATTAATCATTTAAGTTTATTATTTGTTTCATAAATTATTTACTTATTATGTTTTTAAAAAACAAGAAGTAAGTTTCCCTCAAGTTTTCAAAACGGAAATGCGAGTTTCCAAAATAAAATTTTATAAAACATCAATAATGGTAAAACGAATGTCATATAATAAATTAAATTAATCATTAGTTTAATCTACATAATTAATTAATCATTTAAGTTTATTATTTGTTTCGTAATTATTTACTTATTATGTTTTTAAAAAAATAAGAAGTAAGTTTCCATCAGGTTTTCAAAACGGTAATGCAAGTTTCCAAAATAAAATTTTATAAAACAAGAAAAATGAGTTTCCAACAAATTTTAAATGTACATAAGTTGAAATTTCTATGCAAGGTCGGAATTTTAAACATTAAATCATAATATTTATTTGAACAAAAAAAATAATTGATCTGGTGATTCGGTGAGTGAGATATGCATAAATTTAGGACTGAATACATACTTAACTAATAGAGTGATCCACTTCCTTTCTAATTAAAAAATACCAAAAGTCCTACATTTTTTCAATATGATTTGGATATAATTGTATTTTATTTTAATATGGATCTTAAAAATATTGTTACATGTGTTACTAGTCAACTTTTTCTTTCTATAAAATATTGAACAGATGGTGGAAAAATGGTACAATTTATTTTGGGACATTTATTTAAAAAAGGAAGTATATTTTAGTATATATCAAAATGAAATAGCTGTAAAAAGGTAAAAGTGGATAATAGAACAGTTGTTTTGGGACATACATTTTATTAGATCTTTTAAGATTTACAAGTGTTGGGTTGTTCTGTTTTTGATAATTTCTAATGGTGTAAAGATAACTTTTAGAAGTAGTTAATTTGGATATACTTGATTTTTTAATTTAGACCTTAAAGTTAAGAACCCTGATTTTTTAAGACTTAAATTAGATTAAAGAGGTGCTGCCAAAAAAAATAAAAATTAAAGAGGTCTGCACGCAAAAAAAAAGATTAATGAGATAAGTACGTATTGAAACAATTTACACTTGCATATATTTCTTTCTTTTTTTTTCTGTCTTGATAAAAAAAAAAAAAAAAAAAACCTTTGGAATCCCAATCAAAGATTTTCTTTTGATGCAAAGGGATATCTCAAATAATTAAAAAATAAATGAAAATCCAAATAAAATCTTGATTTAATTGCCATAAATCACAATGACCACGAAAAAATAAATGGAAAATTAAACACCTATTACCATTCCCTAATCCCTAATGCACGATGGACTACGACGTGTTTGGTTCCAAACCCAAAACGTGAACTCAACTTGATACAAAAGCACGTTTGGCGTTTCCGTAAACTAGGAAACTCAATCAATCATAGATATACCCTTTGAATATACCCAAAAGTAAATATGGAAGTATCATCAAAAACAAAAGATGTAAATATTTTAGTCTTTGCTTACACAATTTCCATAAATGAATAAATAGTCTTTGCTTTACTCAATTACCATAAAAACAGTGTTTACCAGTCAAAGAATTTAGCGATTGCGTTTTGTGTAAACAGTCAAACACGACCTTATAGGGTAGAGTCATATCTTGAATGGTTTGTTTGGTAAGTGGCCAAGTGCTACAAGGAGGAGGAGATACGATGACACAACTATACATTTAAGTTTTTACTTTAAACCCAAAAAAAGAAAAAAATACATTTAATCTTTTACTTAAAGAAAATAAGCTATTTTTATATATCAAAAATAAATAAATAGCTAGAGACTATTCATCCAAAAACGTGAGACACAATACAGACTCTTCTTCACTCAATTTGTTATAGCCTCTTTTCTCTCTATTGCCTCTTCTTCTTCTTCTTCAACTCCTTCTTCAAACGTCTCCTTTGATTCTCTTTTGCCTTTCTCCGATTTTCATATCTTTGAGATTTTATCGAGTTGGAGAGAGCTGTGAGAGATTGTCCCCTTCACTAAGTTAGGGTATCTATAGCAAAACCCTATATTCATCAGCTGGATAGATCTGTTTCAGGCTTTCAGCTTCGATCTGAGCTTTGTTTTGTGTGTGGATTCAAGCTTCAAAGGAAATGGAGCAATTACGAGGATACAAAACCAACTGTGGATTCTCACTCGGGAAACCGAGATTCGGATCTCTCAAGGTGAAAATTCCAAACATCAAACCTCTCGTAGCTGAAAAAACAAAAGAGATTGAAGAAAACCAAGTCGAGGAAGATGAAGAAGAATATCAAGCTGACGAAGAAGAAGAAGCTGAGGAAGAGGAAGAAGAAGAAGAAGATCATGGAGCTAAGAGCATGGATCTAGAGGAAGGAGAGGTGGAAGAAGAAGAGAAGAAGCATGTATGTTGTGAATGCGGTAAACGGTTTAAGTCCGGTAAGGCTTTAGGAGGTCACAAACGAATCCATGTGCTCGAGAACCGGAAGTTCTCAATGGTGAGACCAAAGATGGTTTCCGGTTTGGTTGGTAGATCTGAAGGAGGTGAATTAGAAGCTGCTTGTTGTGTCTGTCACAAGAAGTTTACATCGATGAAGGCTTTGTATGGACACATGAGGTTTCATCCAGACAGAGGATGGAAAGGAGTCTTTCCTCCTCCTCATCCGTTTGGTAATTCTTCGTCTTCTACACTCTCTGTTGATGATCATGATGATGATGAGTTTGTAAGCTCGGATTACGATGCTTATGATGATTATGACGATGATGATGGTGATGAGAACTCGGAGTTATGGGAGATGGAGAACGGTGTTGACCTTAAGGAACCGATTATAGGATGGGGAAAGAGAGGGAAGAGAAGTGGTTTAAACGTTGATCCACGTCCATCAGAAGATGTGAAGGAGTCTGATGCTAAGAATCTATTGGTGTTAGCTGATACAGCAGAAGCTGAGACCTCTAATTCTCATTCTGTTGAAGATATGGTGAAGAAGAGGAAGAAGAAGAAGAAGAGTTTGTCTGAGATGGAGAAAGAATCATCATCTGCTCCTCACCATGATCAGCTTCAGCTTGCGGTTGTTGTTTCACCTGCTGAGGAAGGCGGCGGTGGTGGTGGTGGTGCACGTGAGAAGCACGTGTGTGTGACTTGCAACAAGACGTTTAATTCGTATCAAGCTTTGGGAGGTCACAGAGCAAGTCACAACAAGGTCAAGATGTTGGAGAATCATCAAGCTAGGGCAAACAATGAAGGCTTGTTGTTACTTGGGAACGAAGGAACAGCTACCGTTTTAGCTAGTGCTCAAGGATCAAACACATCTTTAAGCAGTAACAATAATGGAGAGCACATCTGTAACATTTGTCATAAAAGCTTCACAACAGGTCAAGCTCTTGGAGGTCACAAGAGATGTCACTGGACCGGACCGGTTTCGACTGAGGCTGCAGCCGCTCCAGCAGCACCGGCTCTGAGTCAAGTAACAGAGACAGTGCAAGAAGTGAAGAAGTTGAAGAGAAAGTTTTTGGATTTTGACTTGAATGAGTTGCCACCTAACGAAGAAGAAGATGAAGAAAGAGTCTAAGAGACGTATATATGCAAGCAAGTAAGCTATTTGATTTTATTTTAAAAACCCCAAAAAGACAAGAAAAGAAAAGTATTATGAAATTAGGGAGTAGTGATGGTAAAAAGAGTTGTTGACATTGTAGTCTGAAAAAGATACTTTTGGTTATGAGTTCTGGTTATTGAGGTTCTTTGGTGTTTGGCTTTTAATCTAATTTGGTGGGGACTTTTGTTAATTTGATGAGAGGATATATAGTATACTCTTTTGTTCTCTTCTCTCAAGCCTTTGGTTTTTCTTTCTTTCTTTATTATGCTTTTGGATTCACATAAAGCATGATTGTTTTATTGACCAAACTCCAAAGTTCCATAAAGTTCTCTAAAGTAAATTAACCATCTTATTCATCTCACCATCTTATCTTTCTTTTCTCTTCCTTTCGAACTAATGGTTTTCTCCATAAGTTTATTGGATACTCGGATGACGAATTGATGATAAATAGTAGAATTGCTGCGTTTAATTGGAATACCGAACTATAGACAAACAAATTATAAAATTTCATAATCTATATTTGTAGAACAGTGGTCTATAGTTCCAAGTTACATAACTTTCAACAGACAGTACTGTGCTATTTTAATTTTCTTTTCTTTTTACAGTATCTTAACATGTGTATTACATACAGCAAATTCAAGTTTTGAAACACCAACAGCTGAGCTAGCTAGATTAGAAAGAAAAAAGAAAGAATCAAATCTGAAGTCTCTGTATTCTAAATGTAATTCTCCACCAAACTTTTGGTCGGTGCAAAGCTGTAAAATGAGTTGGAGGTTAACAAATCCAAAAATCATCATCAATGAGACACTTAGGAGTCTAAATTATTCAATTTGCTATATAAAAGTATATTTGTAGATTCATAGTTGGTTTGGTCTAAAACTCTTCAAGACGTGGGCATAGTTAATTTCCTATCTATGTGCTCGAACAAACCAACATTAAGATGGCTGTTTTATAGTCAAAATGTCAAAAGTCTCCACTTGCATGACATAAGACCAATTCTCTACTCTCATCAGAAACACCACATAATACTCACACAACACAACTGTATTGAATTTGTCTTGTTTACAAATCCTTAAGAGCTAAGATTGTTTTTTCTCTCTGTCAAGAGCTAAAAGATTTTTGTATTAGTTTCTACTTTCTCGCAGCCGACATCAAAATTATTCTAAATCCCTGAAAACTGAATCAAGGACAGTAAAAATAGACAAATTTAATCTGATTTGGTCTCCGGTGTAAACTCAAGTAATCAACCATATGGAATAAAACCAAACTCCTTTTTTTTACAGAATATAAAGATGAATGTGAATGTGCAACATTCTCACTTATGTGCTTATATAACTTATCTACTCTTAGATATTTTAAGAACTTGTGGAAAATGATGGCAAAGTTGACAAAAAAAAAGGGCTACAATATAAACACTCACACTGACGTCATGCCATTGCAGCACACCAAAAAACAAAGAGAAGTTGGTATGTTGGAGCCAAATATGTTACAATATTTATAAATATAATTTAAAAAAAAAAGCAAAGGGTGAAAAAATGAAAATCATATTCCAACAAACAAAATCTATCATGTGGGAACAACAATCTCTGACTCTGGCGTTGACTGTAAATTAAACAACATAAAGAGCAAGCCTAACTGTAGAAGAAGACATGAAGTGGTTTTAAGTACTCTCTTCTTGAAGCTCTTCGCTTCTTGGATCTCTGTGATCTCTACACAATGGCTTTGCAAATCTTGAGCTTGGTTCTTTAGATTCTCAGCTTTGGTTTCTGCTTCTCCAAGCTTTGACAGCATCTTATGAGCTTCATTCTCAGCCAACATCTTCTCTTCTTCAACCACTTTGATCTGTCTCTTTAGGTCACCCACTGATCTTGAGAATACAAGATATTCAATCTCTGCCTCCACCTTTTGCTGGAAAATGTCTTCGACACTGATCTCTGTTCCTGAATTACACGGCTCAGAAACGCTTCTAGTGGATTCGAGTTCACGGATTTGTGACTCTTTAACCTCGAGAACACACTTTGTTTCTTCTAGTTTGCTCTCCAGATGCCTTACATTGTTCACCAGGTTTAGAATCTCGGAATCTAGAGAAGTTTGTCCCAATTCTCCCACATTTCCAGACCCAAACAGGTGAGAAGAACTTGCTTCACTAGCTCCTTCATGTCCTGCGTGTATGCAGCCGCTGCTCTCTGCTCCATCATGTAGTGATGATATAGTTTCTTCTTTCCCAAGCTCTTGAAATTTTTCAAGTTCTGAAAATCGAAAACAAACCAGAAGTTATCATGCTAATATTTACTAGCAACTGTAAGGACAACTACAATGCATCAACCATGAAAACACCATATCATGAAACTGCTACCTTTATTAAGGGCTTCTTGCAAATTCTGGTAACTGTTGAAGGCCTCCGTTAAGGGATCCAGATTGTCGGATGAACCATTTTTCTTGGTTTGGGACTCTTCCACAGATTCTCCTTGTGAATGATCTCCGGTTCCTTCTTCTTCTTCTTCCTCTTCTTCTCCCACTTGATCTTTTCTGTTGGAAGTATGTGCGTCGTCATGATCACTACTTTCATCGTTGTAATCCACCATTCTTCTTCCGCCCGTTTCTCTGCTGCCACTAAAACTAGAGGAAGCACCCTGCATAAACACAAAGTTGGAGCTTCTTGAGTCAGCAGATTCCATACTGGAATGAGAGTGTTCCTTCTCGATTTTGATCCTCTCTCATCTACCCTTATCACCATTCTCTACCCTAATCTTCCTTTGTTCTCCCCAACTAATCACACTCTTTCCACCCAAATGCTTTGCTCTCTCTTTGTCCCAAGAATGACCCATTTTCTTATCACACCTAACCTTGGGACCGCTGGCTGCAGTCGAGGACATGCTGCTACTTCGATCCTCACTGTTATCCGAATCAACCCCAGCTGCAAAAGCAAGCCCAGGTCCATGGCTAGACTCAGCAAAACCAACCATGTTATTCACCGAGCCAACCGAACCAAGACTATCTTGTTCGACATCAGGTCCCGAGAAATGCATTTGTTTAGCATCCGGATCAGCTGCTCCCGACAAGACCCTCTTACGAACTTTAATGTTCACAGAGGTATCATCTTTAACAATATCTCTCCTTATCCTCCTCCTCCTCCATTTTCTTAAACCAAAACCCTTTGAAATAGGCTCGACCGGTGAATTAAAGGGCTTGTCAAGGTCAGTAGTAGTCTTTTCATCTATTTCAGCTTCTACAGTAGCAGAAGCAGAGACCACTTTATCATCATCTATAGTCTCAACATTACCAATCAAGCCATTAACTTCAACAGACGCCTCAAGAGCAGAGCTCTCACTCTCCAAATCCATGGACGCCACACAAAAATCTCAAACCTTAACTAATTTATCATCCTCTAAATTCACATGGGATCAATAATCAAGAGCAACAACCATCATTCCAGCAGGAACCACCAGATGAAAAATCAATAAAGCAAAACAAAAAAGTAACAAAATTTACAATCATAAGTCAAATTTCAACTCAATGTCAAAATGAAGATTTCGTAAGAGAGAGAGAGAGAGGGCCAATGATTGGGAAAATCAAATCCAACATACAACGCGCGCGAAATTGAACCGAAATAATCGAGCTGACGTACCTAAATTGGTGATTCCCTTTACAGAGAGACCGAAAACGAAAGTAGAAGATGATGGAAAAACCCTAATTCGATTCACGATTCGCAGATCTTTATCCGTTTAATGTGGAAAATTTCGCTGCGAAAAATCGTTAAATTTCTTTTTCTGCAAAAATTTCTTATTTCCCTTTTTTTTTTTACTTAGAGAAAATACCAACGTGTGAGCGACTTGGTCGGGACACGTGGCGACACCGCTGGCCGCTGCAACAAAGACTCGGATGTTTTTTTGACCGTTCGATTCAACGTGGTCTTATCTGGTCGGATCTAGAATTCGACGGTGTGTGATATACCCGTTGGGAACTAAATACACGATGTCCTGCAATTTTACTAATTTACCCTTTGTCTCCCTAACTTCTTCAACGGTTCTGACGTTTGCATCTTGTGTTTATACAGTGGGTGCTGTTTTGTATGCAAGAAAACAACGAGACGTTTTTTTCTTCAGCTTTAGATGAACGCGCGACGTCTGATAACTTTTGAAAATGTACCTGTACCGAAAGAGGAGAAATCAATTTTTGGTTTGTTCTTACGTCACACACTCCAAGATTTTGATGGTAATATTTTTTTTATAGACTTTGTAGATAAATGTGAAAATGTATGGGGTAAATAAAAATATTGAGAAAAAGTCACAAGTGCACTGGTCTTGGACCAATTCCCATTGCGAATCAGATTTCAAATGTTGTGTCAGTGTACACATACACATATGTACACTAATAATATAAACAGAAATATATCAGTAGTTAATTATTTCGAGTTTTATTGTACGACAAATTATATTTTACTGACTCAAATATCAAAATTAGCACACAATAATATCATATTATGGTCTGAAAATACTGATTACGTGAGATATGAAACTTAGATACCCCTAATGATCGATATTAATTACACCAATGATGACTATACATTTCGCTGAATATGTCTTGGAGTTTTCTAAACACAATAAAATACAAACACAAACAGACAACCAAAGTACTGAGAAAACTGGAAATGGTTCCCTTCCTTCAATCCAACCTCTTTTAAGCTCAAACTTCAATGTCTTAACTCTCTGATTCAGACTATTTAATTCTCCTAAATTCCATGTAACCATGATAGATTTATTATAAGCTGAGTTTAGATCTACAATTTCGACTCTTCTTGGCAAACTAAAAAAAAACAGAGAGAAAAGAATCTTTAAAAAAAAAAATGCAGGAGGAGGTTGAGAGAAGAGAGAGAGAGAAGAAATGAAATGAAGGAGAATCCAAGATTATAAATTAGTAGTATAAAAGGTTTTGGATTAGTGGGTGATCATTATTAAACACATTGGTACATGTTTAGGACTCTCCAGGCTGCTCCTCCTCTTAACCATTTCTTTAATCACTATTTTAAATAATCACTAGTATTTTTTTTAAAATAATCTCCATAAGTACTCTCAGATCCAACTCACAAATCAAGATTCTTCTCCCTCTTCATTATCACAATCTGCTCTTCCTAAAAAAAAATACGCATTGAAGAGAGAGAGAGAGATAGAGAAGGAGGCTTGTAATGAAAAATACGCAGGGGAAGTGACACGTCTTTTGCCTTGTGTCTGAAAAAGATCAAACAAAGGGTAAGTCTTTTGAAAATCATCTTTAATGATTTGACTAATATGTTGCTTTTTCTTGTTGTTCCTATTCATTTTTGGTGGTTCTGGCTTTTAAATTCAAACCAAGTAAAAAAGATTCAATCTTGCTGATGATGATGAACGCAAGACCACACTCATTGTAAAGTAATGATTTTTCTTCTGACTCCATGACCTCCATTGTTGCAGAGACTGAAACCGGCTATGTTCTTGGTCAAATCTGAGCTAAGCGGAGGAGAAATTAAAAAACGAGAAAAGGAAAACAAATTGGGTTATTCAACAGTGTTGGGAAGAAGAGGACCCCACAAAATGGAAGAGTTAGATACATCACATGCAGTTTCTCCGATTTCACCTCAATCTCCTTGAACTATATCAACTGTTGCATTCATGTTCTGACTCATCTCCTCACAGTCCCACTCACTTCAATATAATCTGTCAGAGAAGACCACAATGATTTTCAGACCAAGTTAGTGAGAGAGATAAAGACAGACCCTTTTCAGCTGAGAGCTGAGAGCTTCATTTTGGGTTAAATTAGAGTTCGGTAAGGAAGTAAGAAGAAGAAGAAGCAGCGGAAATGAGGTTCGAAGAAGAAGATAAAGAAGCAAGCTTAGCTGGATTAACCATAAGAACATCATCACCAGCAAGCTCTTCAAGTAAGAAAGGTAAAGATCTTCAAACATACAATGCTTCAGATTCATCTCCAAGCATCAAAAACTCTCCTTTCAATTCACCTTCTCTTGTGTCCCCACCATCTTCTGCCTTTGTTTCCGCTTTACAATCACCTTATATATCCCCAAGAGCCACACAACCAACCATTACTACCACAACCACAACCACTCACAAGCCATCACCGGTTGTTTCTTACAAAGGCTCACAATCCGAAGATGTGCCAAGCAGCTCCTACACTCCTCCTTCCGACCAGTACGAGTTCTCCGATGACCCACCAGATCGGAAGCTAAAGTTATCAGCTTGTACTCCAGATCCTGCTCCTCCAAGGATCTCATTCTCTTTCCCTGTCCCTAGAGTTTCCTTAGCCAAAGTCTCTGTTTCTTCACCTGCAACCAACACCAAGCTCAGGAGCTCCGATGTCTTCATAGGGTTCCATGGACAAAACCCAAACTTGGTGAGATTCTGCAAGTGGCTAAAGTCGGAGCTTGAGCTTCAGGGAATCGCTTGCTTCGTCGCTGACAGAGCCAAGTATTCCGACACACAGAGCCATGAGATCGCAGACAGAGTCATCTGCTCTGTTACTTATGGGATTGTCGTGGTCTCCTGTTCGAGCTTGCTCAACTACCTCAGCTTGGAGGAAGTTAGATTCTTTGCGCAGAAGAAGAATCTTATCCCGATTTTCTACGGAACCGGACCTTCTGAGATTATGGGTCTTCTCAACTGCAACGCCATAGATAAAGAGTGTAAAGAAGCCATTGATGGGTTGATCAAGTCCCATGAGTTTAAACTCGAAGCTAATGAGAGTAACTGGAGAAGCTGTGTGGGAAAGACCGCAACGATTCTCAGGGGAAAGCTAGGGAGGAAGAGTGTGGCTGATAAAGAGACAGTGGAAGGGATTGACGAGCTTCCGTTTCCAAGAAACAGAGCTTTTCTTGGCAGAGAGAAAGAGATGGTTGAGATGGAGATGGCTTTCTTTGGCAATGGAGAGTATCTTGAGTCTACAACACCGAGCACCAAAGGAGAAGCAAGTGGACAATCTGAAGGGCTTGCAGATGAGGAATCAGATGTTGTGTCAACTAGAAATGGGAAATTTATAAGCTTGGAGCTTGGGAAGTGCTCAGAGGCAAGAAGTGAGGCTTGGAGTGATCCAAACGGTGGCAAAAACTCGCTTAAGAGACTGTTGAAGACAAAGAAGCATAGAAAGAGTAGTAGTAACTGCAAAGGAAGCACAAGCGTTGTTTGTGTGAATGGAGTTCCCGGGATTGGGAAGACAGAGTTAGCTCTTGAGTTCGCTTACAGGCATTCTCAGAGGTATAAGATGGTGTTGTGGGTAGGAGGGGAAGCTCGGTACTTCAGACAGAACCTGTTGAATCTGTCCTTCAGTTTGGGGCTTGACGTGAGCGCAGATGCTGAGAAAGACAGGGGTAGACTAAGGAGCTTTGATGAGCAAGAGTTTGAAGCTTTCAAGAGGATAAAGAGAGAGCTTTTCAGAGACATGCCTTATCTGTTGATCATTGATAATCTTGAGATAGAGAAAGATTGGTGGGAAGGGAAAGATCTGAATGATTTGATTCCGAGGAACACTGGAGGGACACACGTCTTGATCACTACAAGACTCCCTAAAGTCATGACCTTTGACACGGTGCAGCTTTCTGTATTGCCTTGTTCTGATGCAATGGTGTTACTGAGAGGAAGAAGAAAGAAAGATTATCCTCCTGAGGAGTTTGAGTTCCTCAAGATTTTCGAAGAGAAGCTGGGACGGTTGAGCTATGGTCTTTGTGTGGTAGGTTCATTGCTTTCAGAGCTTGCGATTCCTCCTTCTTCTCTCTTTGAAGCTGTGAACAAAGTTCAAGTCGAGGAACGTTCTGCGTCGCCTTTTCTAAACGATGAGCAGCAATACTGCAAATCCAATCCGTTCGTTGCAAAGGTCTTAGCTTTCTGCTTGGCTGTTTTGGAGCAAGCTGAAGGAAACAGAAACTTACTCTCGTTGAAAATGCTGCTTGTGGGAGCTTGGTTCGCTCCGGTTCCTGTCCCGGTTAACTTGTTAGCTGCAGGAGCCAAGAACATGCCCACAGGTGGGAACCGGTTTGGCAAATGGAACAAATGTTTGAGCCACACGTTTGCTTGGTGCGGTGGTTGTGGTCTAGGACGGAGAAGCGAAGAGGATGCTGCGTTTTTGCTAGTCAGATTAGGACTAGCGAGGATAACTAACAGACAACCTGGATGTTGGATTCAGTTTCATCCGATAACTCAGACATTTGCGAGGAGAAGAGACTACATTCTTGCACCAAAGGCAACGGTTCAAGGCGTGAGGAAAATCGATAAACCGTTGCTGAATCTTGACCACCTTTGGGCTTCAGCGTTCTTAGTGTTCGGTTTCAAATCAGAGCCTCCTTTGGTGCAGCTACAAGCAATGGATATGGTGCTTTACATCAAGAGAACAGCTCTTCCTTTGGCAATCACAGCTTTCACGACCTTCTCGAGGTGCAACTCCGCGCTGGAGCTTCTCAAAGTGTGCACCAACGTGTTGGAGGAAGTGGAGAAGTCGTTTGTGTCTCAGATACAAGATTGGCGCCAAGGCTCGCTCTGTTGGAAGAAGAAGACTAACAAGAAGGTGGATGAGTACGTGTGGCAGGATGTTACGTTGCTGAAAGCTTTGTTGCTAGAGACCAGAGCGAAGCTGCTGCTGCGAGGAGGGCATTTCGATAGCGGAGAGGAGCTTTGCAGGACTTGTATCAGTATCAGGACGGTGATGCTTGGCCATAACCATGATCTCACTTTGGCTGCTCAAGAAACACTTGCAAAGTTGGTTAGAATGAGAAGCAAGATTTGAAAAATAACATCTTCTCCTAGGTTGTTTCCACGTTATTGTAAGCTCAGTTTTGTTGAAGACTCATGTAACGGTTACTTTAAAAGTCAGTTATGAACAATCTTATTCCTAATGTACATTACCAACTTCCTTTATTGATCCTAATCTCTTTTTATTCATTTAGATCATTAATCATGTAATCATTTATTTGAGTTCTTCATAGAGTGTGGATGCATCAAATGGCTACTAGGGCCTCAAGCTATACATACAACATTCAATCAATGCATTGCATTTTCAAGTACTTAATACACTAGCCAATCAAACAAAAGACCTTATCACAGATCTAAGTAAAAAACAGAACTGAAATAAGGACAAGTAGTCCTGTAAGAAGTGGGACCGAAGACAAACACAGAAAAATAGGTATGGGTAAAAATTGCAATTTAATCAGTGTTTGGGTTTTGCCAACAAATGTCACTCTCCCTTCTCCTGTTACTGGTCCCAAACTTCACTGCTCAGTTTTGTTTCCTTTTCAAAAGACTAAAAAAATCTGACTTGTCATACACAAATTGAGATAGTTTTATCTTATCTGGTTTTGGTTAAACCCAAGTTAAGTCAGAAATTCAACCTGTTAAATCAAAAACAAAAGCAGATTATTGAGGTTTTATTGAATCGACAATCAAGAGAATATATGATATGACTCGTAGTCATATGAGCCTTTACTCAGTGTCTCTGCCATTTGGGTCCCTAAATTCTCTTGAAGCTTTCAGATTTAGTATGTAATAAGTAACAGTGACTGTAAAAGACAGCAAGAAACAAGTTGACCTCAAATCCTTTCCCTTCATGACAAAACTGAAAAAGATGTGTCTGAAAATCAGATGTAACATGTGAGGAAAATGGACAGAGCAAGTTGGTTTCCTTACTGTGAGAATTGAGAACCAATCAAACAATAAATTATTATTCTCTTTTGATTACAATTCAACTCCAACACTACAAAGTAATCAGATTTCAGACCATACTCAAATTCACAATACAAATCACAAGAAATCAAACAAAGAATTAAAAAAAACAAAAAAATGATTGAACATCACCGGAGATTAAAACCGATCAAGCCTCCGGTAACAGCATCATCTTCCTCAAGGAAGAGCCCGTCGGAGTTCCTAATAACGGAGTGAGTAATGCACAGTAGCAAGCCAACGCCGACACCTATCGCCAAGCTCGCGGCGGAGCTAGTGAACCATATGGCCCACACGGAGACTAAGAACAGAAACAGCAACACCGTCCGATTTCCGACCTGAAAGCTCCATAGAATAAGTGGATCTTCTCTGAAGAAGTGAAAGAGAAGCCACAAGGCGATGATCGTGCCGACGACCACTAGCGCGACGGGACTGACTGTGATTAGAGAAAAAGCGGCGCAAGTGCCGACGACAATCGCGTAGTTGACGGAGAAGTATCGGAAATTCGTCCTTAAACGGAGGGGAAGAGCGGAGAGTCTCTCCGGAAGACAAAAAGCGCCGGAAGTGACGAGTTCTGACCAGGGACGGTGGCGAGAGATAGCGGAAGTGAGGTTATGGATTGATCGGTGGATAACGTCGCCGGTAGGAATCGGAATTGAGGTGTAGGTCATCGTCGTCGGTGCCATGTTCTTTGGTTTACATCCGGCGGCTTTCCCGATTCCGTTGACCGATTTGACCCAAACCCGAAAATGCCAGAGCTAAAAGCTGGCTTAAGTGATATCGACAGGAAATTTACAGAAGGGATGTCCAACGACTTTTTTAGTCAACTACTACATCATTCCTTTCGTTAACCAATCAAATGTTGCCAGCTCATCAAATTAATTTTGTAAAACATTAATACTAATTTTTCCTCAGCACTAATTTGTGCTGCTAGTTTACAAGTTTATCTGCTAATCTAAGTGCTGGCAAGAAACAAAATATTATCTAGTATTTTAATTGACTTAAAAATAAAATAATATGCTGTTCATGCCTAGGCTAACTATATTTGTTTAAATTTTATGTCATTTCCTCACTAATTTTGACTTTTGGATTTTTGCTTGTGAGTTATTTACAAATTCGATTTTTAGCTAGTTTTCCGAACGATATCAGTCGAATTAAATCATTTTTGGATTCAAAGACTGAGCTTTTAGACACCTTTTGGAGGCAATGAAACCTTAAAGCTATTTATGTCATTTTCTTTTGTAACAGCAAAATTCCATTTCCAGACTAATTAATTTTTGAAGTTACTGAAAAAATCGGATATTGTTGACCATTTAAATCAGTAATCAGAGTGGCCAAGAGTTTAAAAGATAAACTATTAAGTTTATAACTTTTTGGAGCTTTGAGACAACTTTGAAGGCAATGAAAGCCCAAAGTTTAACTTATCTTCTACAGAGTGTTTGTTATTTTCAAGTGTTTTTGCTTTTTGTAAACTACTACACAAAAGTCTCTGCAGAAAGAGATAAAAGCATAGAAAATGCCGTAGACATTTCGGAATCTACCTTGAAAACCAAAACATCCAAAAAGTTCGAATGCTCGGTTTTCAAACAGAACCCAACTTCTCGTCATCATCTTAAACTGCATAAAGGTCGAAACTTTGACGATGACTAGCTCGGAGAAAAGTACCTTACTTGATCAAAATTGTTTCTGGTTGCTGAAGCTTGTGTGTGTGCTTGTTGTGCTTTTGGTGTCTGTGGTTGATGTGTTGAGTCGAAACCGTTGCTTAAATAGAGACTTGTGTTGAAGTATAAGCCGGTTGGTGGATCAAGTAACTGAGGGGTTGGTGTCATAACCCAAGACCCGGATGCTTCTTCTCCTTGGTTCATCACCATTAAATCTTTGCCCATTAGCCGTAAAACCGGGTTAGGACTTGGAGGCACAGTGCCGTTGAGACTCGCTCTGCTGGAGAACTTACTCTGAAGATCCAAATCTTGTTGGATCATGTATGATGGTGACTGCTCAAACGGATGAGTTGGATCCATACATGTGTTGGTTTTGGTTAAGTTCATGGCCATTGACGAAGAAGACGCTGCTCTTCTCTGCAGTAGATGAGATGCTTGGTGATGATTCAAAGTAACGCACTCAAAGTTTCTCTCTTTTCTTTGGCAACAACAAGACTCATGATCACTGTTTCTAAATCTGGAAGGTGCTGTTGGCTCAGCCTCGGCGATACCACAAAAGCTCATCGGTGTTGTTGAGTAGGAGGACGAGGGAATGTCCAGGGAGAGATTCTCTCGGAAAGAAGAAGAAGATAACTCCGCCGGAAAACTCATTCTACCCGCTGCAAAGTTTGAAACTGCAGAAACAGGTGACTCAGATGAGTTTCTGTCAAGATGATCCATGGAAGATTGGACCTGGCTTGTGATAACCGAAGAGTTTCCAAGATTCTCATCGAACCCCATATCTCGAGGACTCGGTAAAAATGATCCAGGAGGTCCTGGAATGGGAATGGTATCAACCTCTACAAACAAGCTTCCGTGTCCTCCTACTTCTGTATCAAACCTCACATCCTCCTTGCAAGGACCTTGCCCGTAAACCATATCTCCAACTTCTTCAGTGTAATACATTGCTCGCTCGCTAGGTATGATTTCAGTGTCTGACTGGTAGAAATCAGCACCTGTATCATCATCGGTTTTGTCCAACGCATTGGCTGTTTCGTTATTATTATCATCTGCTTCCTCTTCACTACTTTCTTCTTCGTCATCATCACTATAATCATCGTAACCACTAGATGAAAGATTTGACCTCAGTAACACCTCCTCGTTTCTTTCTCCATTATCACCAGAAACATAATCATCATCATCTGATATTTCACGTTCTTGATTCATCTCGGACTCCCATTTCCCTGTTTCTTCTTCATCGGAGAAATCAAACCGAGCTTTCTTTAGCTCCGCAGGCAGAGATAGTCGTCTCCAGGAGTTTGCTACATACAGTGGGGACAACTTTCTCATGCTACTTGCACGAGGAGATGCATCTGAAACCTTTATGGCATCTTCTTGAATCGAAGCAACGTTCTTCTTCAACCGGAGAGTGTTTCTTTGAACTCCCTCAAGTGAGTCCTTCTCCTTCTCACTCATCTGGACTCTAAATGAACGACTTTGAGCTCTTTTATTCCCGAACAAAGTCTTATTCTTTCCAGCAACTTCGCTCCGCAGCTTCTGTTTGTCAGTACCTTTCATCACTACAGGATCTCTTTCTGACCATGAATCATCATCATCATCATCATTCTCAGATGGTTGATCCCGCAACGCATAAAATTTATGTCCTTTCTCTTTCACACTCAGCTTCTTTGGAGTCAGACCACGTTTCGCTAGCATCCGCTGATTATAGATTCTACGACGACCTGTGCTTCTACCTTCTCCAGCAAACCCGCTTTCACTCTCCGGAATCTGCTGTACAAAAGCAATGCACTGTTATTTTATGAATCTTGAATATGCAAAAAACATTTTGACAAGAACGTAATACCTCTGAAGCATTGGCTTTGTGATTGGTTAGTTTCAGAGACTTGTGCTGTTTCTTTCCACGACCTCTCTTCCTCGAGACTTTACTGTTCTCTTTACCACCTTGGCTTAGACATTTCTTCTCACTACTACAATCCTCTTGCTGCTCTCTCAACTTGGGAGTTGTAGTAAAAGAAGTCTTCTTCTTCTCGCTGAACTCTGATAAAATCCGCAACTTTTGGCCCTTAGCATCAATATAAACAGGACCAACACCAACAGGCGAAGAAACTTTCCTCTTCTTGGACACTTCAGAAGACTTATCAGCAACAACTCGACTCGTATAACTCAAGATCGAAACCCAATTCGTTCCATTTCTCTTATCAAGATCCTCCAATGTGCATCCTTTAGCAGAAGCGTAGATATCAGCCATCGTTTTAACTTTCGTCCTTGGCTTATTAACTCTAGCCTTGCTTGGCTTACTATGATTAACCGGTGGCAGCTTCGGTAAGTCAACAGACAGACACTGATCGACTCTAGGCTTGTTGTTCTGCTTACTGTGACTCACCGGTGGCGAAGGTAAGTCAACAGAGAGACACTGATCGATGTGAGCATTCAAAGTAGTGTTGGAAGCTGATGAGAAAGTTCTGCAAATAGGACATGTCTTTGAAGCCATGGTTGATTCAGAAGTCGTCACACAACTATCTTCTTTGGATTTCACCATCTTTCTACTGTGGTTGTTCTTGCTGTTATTTGTAGAAGCTACTACTATCTGATCTACTTTAGAAGACTTTGTGCTCGTCCTAGTAAACAAACCATTCTCTAAGATCTTCGGTTGGTTGCAAACTCCTTTTCTAGTCTGATTTAGCTTAAGTTGAGCCAAATCTCTTCCGCGGTGAACATGGGGTGCGATTTGCTTCCCTGATGGTGAAGTAGCAGTGGTTTCAAACTGGTTACTTACGGTGGAGAGTTTCTGAAACGGTGGTAGAGGATCTGTTACGCCATGAGTGGCAAAAAGGTGGAGACTTTTGGTTGAAAATGGCCAGTTGTTGTTGATGTTCCTTTTCCTGTTACTATATGCGTAATCTCTGCAACCAAACATAGACAAATTGAAGTTGATTACTTTCAAAAACTCCATAGATAGAGTTAAACATCAACAGACGAAAGATGCTTCAAAACTCATAAGAAAGCATAATCAAGAGATTTGAAACCATAAGTATCGATAGAAAATCACAGAAGGTGAAAGGAAGATTTTTGAATCTGACCCAATAATCACAACAAGGAAAACAGAAGAAAGCTCAAAACTTTGGATCTAGCCATGAGCAGATGAGCTTAGAGCTATGATCTGACACTGACTCATCATGAAATACTGTTCAGAGAACTTTTTTTTTTTGTTGCCAAAACCAAACTGGCGAAAAAAAAAAGAAAAAAAAAAGTAGATTCAGAGGATTAAAAAGGAGAAGTTTTTTTTAAATAATACCTGATGGAGAAATTGGGGAGATGGGATTGACCTAACTCATCGGAAGAAGTGGTGAGATGTAAGAAATTGGAAGAAGAAGAAAGTGGGTCATTGGGTGGGTTCTCAGTGGATAAGAACATTTGATTCTTCCACTGTTACTATTTGCCTCTTCTTCGCTTCCCAAATACTTCCGCATAACATCAGATCTTTATCATCACCACCCAAATCTCACTCTGACTCCTCCTGCTTAATAAACAGATTTATGATATGAAGATTAGTCAAGAGTTTTAAGATCTTAGTAGAAAGAACATTATTTCATGTGGATAGAGTCACACTCACACACACAAAAAGAAATTAGGATTAGTGGGTATATATGAAGATTATTTTAAGTTTATGTGTGTGATTTGATGAAGTGAAATCACAAAGAGGAACAGTTATTCGCACGCAAAAGACAGTTTTCTTATTTTTGGTCTTTAAACCCACAAAAAAAAGTTTCCAATCTAATTAGAGAGCTTATTTTATGTTGAAGGGATCATAAGCAAAGTGAAGTAAGACAAGTACAAGATGAAGAAGCTAGCAAATAGAAGAAATAGATCAGAGTTAAGAAGATCTAAACAAACAGATGTTTTTCATAAACGAAAGATCATATGAGCATTTATGTAAGACCAAAGCTTGGCAAGAAAAATCAAGACATGGGGAAGATTCTTGATCAGCTAACAAAGGGATGTGACTACAAATAGATTTTCAAGGTATGATGAAGAAATAAAACAAACAAATCTGAAAGAAAAGAAAACTGAAATCAACATAAGATTCAATGAATCTGAACAAAACTTGAAATCAGAACCAGAAACTAAATTATTTTGGAAGTCAAGATCAGATACTAGAGCTTTGAAAACAGTGATCTTTACTTGTAAATCTATACACACAGACGCACATACCCATCTGCAAGATTTCAAGATTTGAGATCTTGAAATATGGATAGAAGAATAAAAGATCAAAGAGAAGGACGAAGAAGAATAGACCAAAGTCACAAACTTTAGACCAAGAACAAGAACAAAAACGAAACTCAGTTTTAGATGGGTTTGAGAAAAGATTTACAAACCTTTAGATGGTTTTCTCGGCAAAAGAAAACTAGTGTAGAAAAAATGGCTTCTTAGAGAGAGAATGAGAGCATTGAAGAAAGAGATAGAGAGAGAGGAGAAGAACCAAGCACTAAAATCAATTTTTGGTGTTCCATATAAGTCCACATACGTATTATCACTAAATGTGAATAAAATAAAGAAAAACAAATGAGTGCAAGAGGAAAAATATTTAAAGTGTCCACACTAACTTCAATTATTTATCACACTCCACCATCTTTGTTTTTATTACTTTATATTGTTTAGATTTGGTATAGCTAAAATTTAATTTTTTAATTGATTTGGGAGACAAAAAAAAAAGTGATTTTATGTATAATTTGGTGTTGGCTTTCCATGTTAAAGGAGTTAATCTTATATACCAATGAAGTTCTTCTAACTTTTTATATATCACATAAAACTATAACCTCATATTGTCCACTAGACAAATAGAATTAAGATATGAGTCACAGTAAACTTAAAGTAAGACTATGCAATTAAGATCCTTAAAAAAATTAAGGTTATTTTTATCAACAACAAAAAAAGCTAAAGTTAATGGATCATGAAGGAAGACTTTGGGTTTCTGTAATATTTTCAATAGATTTGGAATATTAAAATGCTTCTAAAATTTCACATCATTGGGTGTATAATTTTAAAACTAATTAATCCAAAATCATATTAAGTGATCATTTTTTGAGTTTATTTAATTTGTGTGCCATTGTAATTTTTAGGATTTTATCTACTATGAATTAGAAGTATCTCATAAGATTTTTATAAAGTATAATATGACAACTAAACAAATTCCATAATTTTAATTTTAAGTGATATTTTCAGGAATATCAGTTAAAATAAAATCAGAAAACCTTCACTAAGTTCTTTAATAATCAATTTATTTTATTTTAATTTATTAAAATGAACTTAAACAATTCATCATATTCAGGATCCAAGAGAAAAAAATGTATTTATCCAATATATTCATTTTAAATAATAATAAATTACAATAGCAATTGGTGTAGGACCCATGGAGCAGACAAGCAAGCGACACGTCGCAATCACGTCAATCTTAAAAAAATCTTGGGGCCGTTGTTCCTCCACTCTCCTCTTTAAATTATTAAATTTCTTATAAGCTTTGCTATTTTTTACTTTTAACCAAAACGAAATCATTTTGTACGTCCATGAAATCTTATTTACGAAACACGTACAAACGCACGCCCACACGCGCCTTAGATATTTCACCTCACCAACACGCGCTTAGATATTCACTCACTAAAGCTTTATTCTTTTTGTGGTTATTATTCCTCTCTTTTCTTTTCTCCAAACATTTTTTTCTTGTTTCTACATAAAATTGAACTCTATTTATATAACTTATATTTAAACTCGAATAAACTTTTCGGTGGAATATGGAGTTGTAATTATTTATATTATCTTCCGAGGATATGTCATAGAAACGAAGAATTTCAGTAAACTCAGAAAATTAAAGCAAGCATGGGAAAAAGCATGAACGCAACAAAAAAATATACTAAAAAAGTATGAATATCCAAAAGTGGTGTATACAAAATATCTGATACGTCGATTCAACGTGGACGGAAGAGATTAACCCAAATCGAAGAGTCATGCATGCATGCATGTGCTCAATCTTTTAAATTATTTCATCCATACCGTACACGACTTGTAGATATATTCATAGTCATCTACTACATGTTATATATAGATATTATATGGAGATCTGAATCAATCTTTGATTCGGAATTAGCATATGCCTCGCGTGATTATCAATGTACATGTATTACTTTTTGTTAGTTGTGGTGAAGTTAATTAACGTCGTACATCTTCTTGCCTCTTTTGCAATGCGACCAAGAAGATGAAGCACAACAACATTTATTTATTTCAAATGCAGATTGAGTGATGAAATCTTAGGCTTTTTCATACCTCGCTCTTGCGTTGTTGTTGTTGTTATTTATATCCCGTATTTCCTCCCAATAATTTTTTTTATATATAGTTTGGAACAAGATGATTAATATTGGTCTCACATGTGATAAATTTAATTATGCAAACATACTATTGGTGTACAAAATTTAGCAAGAAAGAGACGCAAGACTTTGTCGACATGAATCAAAACCCGTAAACATCACAATCCTCAAAAATCAAAAAAAATTAATGCAGATTATGCAAGACAGCAAGAAGGAGACTTCTCGCCATACCATACTCGGTAACAGCTCTCTGGCCACACCTTAATGTTTAATTTAGACATTTCCAAACACCTTATGCGTATGCTTACAAGTCACCATTGATCACACACGTTATATACAGATACACTATATATGTATATGTCCTTCTAACTGAACCTCTTCTTCAGATTCTCCTTAATTACCATTTGTATTCCAGCCATCGATTCAAATTACAATCATTTGTAGTCTTTTACGTTTTTGCAATATGATTAAGCAAATGCCCCAAACAGTGTAACATGTTACATTGGGAACGTTTCTTAAGTAGTGGATCAGTGCATGTTCAATGAGATAGCAGCTCGATCAGAGATATATCCACGATCAAATTTTTTTAAGCGATCACCTACAAACCGTTGATATTCTTCACGGACTATCGTCGTATTCAAACTTGAAAACGTTATATTATTGCTTCGACGGGAGCTAACAGTCCAGAATGTTTTATTTGGATAAGCACTTAAATTCCTTTTTTTTAACAACCATAAGAACTTGAATTCAAGTCCAGATTATGTAGGATGGACTATTACGTTATATATACTACTTTATATAGTAATGTGGAAAGTATTACTTCTCTTTGACAACTAATGCGACAAACGTAACTAACGTAATAAATACAGTCTGTTAATTATTAACATAATGGAAACGAAATGTGCACCAAATTGTTAATATTTTAAAGTTCTGTACATATCATCTCGTGCTTTTAAATATGCTTAGAACGTTAAATAGATCTTTATTATGTAAAGCTACTAATGGAGGACCAAAACCAACATTTCGTCTCTTGTTTAATTCGCGATCTTCACGCCAAAATAAAAGTCCCGCTGCGTGGGTCCGCTCGAAATGACATCAACATAAATACGTTAAAATAAAATAACATGCATTCCGAATTTTGCTTTTTTTTTTTTGTGTGGCCAACGTGGCAACGCATTCCGAATTTCCAATAACATTATTGCCAAAAAGAAGTAATGACCCTTATCAAAAAAAAGAAGAAGTAATGACCATTATGTTTTTCTTGCAACTTAACACCTAAATATTTATTTGGACATACTTAACACATGTATTGAAATTGTAATTTCTTGCAACTTATGTGAAATTGTATATTTTTAAATTATTTATTTTAGAAATTCTAGAAACAACAATCCTTAATTTTAATTTGCACAAAATCTTAAATCACATACGCACTTCATGTTATAACTTAAGCTTTGGATAAGCTAGATGAAGATTTAAATCTTGCATATTACGGATTTGCTTCTATATCGTGGTTTCCTATCACTAATGATAGTGTTTACTATAAATAATTAAATGACTCCGTATTTACGGAAAATATTAATTGTACAGTAGTCCAAATATCATTTAACGCAACATAAAAATGATCTTAGATTTCAAAACTTATCTTATAAGATTTGGGTGAACCTTATAAGAAGTAATATATGAAAATATCATGATATTTTCAGGGTTTGCCCTTGACACAATTACATGAGGTAGGTCATTGTTAGTTCTTCTGAATTATTTTTTAATTAAAAGACCACATCGAAGAAATTTCTTGTTATACTGTTTTAAAATATATTTCATTATTTTTTCATGTAATTTTATTGCTTATGTGTCGACTAAATTTTCTCTCAGTAGAAGTCAGATAACAACCTAATTAATATTCATTATTATTTTGTCGGCGCCTAATTTAAATTAATACATACAAAATCTGATGTAGTATTGTGAACGGAACTTATATGGACTTATTGTCGTAGATAATACACAAAAACTTAAACATAAAAATATAAACATTCGCCGCCACTAAACACAAATGCATTTTTCGTCAAATATAAAATTAACTCTGTTGACAAAAGATGATTTTAAACATCCAACCGTGTCAACTTCCAACTAGTCTTTTCATTATAAAAATAAACTTGCACATTTACTTTATCCAAACTGTCAAATGTTGTCACAAGTTGTAACTATTTAGTAGTTAGAGGCAATAACATAAATAAAAGAATTGTACTTCTTTTTTCACACACACAAAAAGAGGTAAATCGTAGATTAAGACCAATATTGCCTTTTAGTGGGAGTGAGTGGACGTTATCATTTTATATAAGAATATCTCATAGCTTAAAATTTCAATTTGTATGAGAGAATCCATTATTCTACTGCATCAAGTCTCGAAATTTCAAACTTTGCAATAGAACTATAAGTTACGAGTTAAACTAGCTAGGTGGAACCCATTATGATACCAATCTTTGATGCATAGAGCCTTTTGAATAGTCATTTTTCAGACTTTAAACAAACTGAGAACACATGATTTCGCGTATCTCTCTCTATAAACTTGAATTTGGACTAAAGCATCGAACAATAATTATCTAACTTTGCTATTCTCATTTTCAATTTTTTTATAAAGTTTTAAACAATATACTTCACGTTATCATTTTTTATAAAGTTTTAAAATATATTTTACTGATGTATATTTACGAAAATATCCGCGAAGGAAGTAGTGAGAAAGATCACATGAAGGAAGGATTGGAAGTATTAGCATTTTGCTTATTCTCTTAAAGCCATTGCATCTAGCTAGGTACATGTTCGTATTACCTTCGACCATTTTCGTACGATTTTCTTTTTAATATAGCCCCGAAAAAATAAAAATAATTATAAGTAGGTCTGTCACTGTATACATAATACATTACATACATTACATATATTATGTATAAATGTAAATGTAAATGTAAGTGTGTATAATAAACGAACATGCAAAACAAAAGAAGACATTAGACATGGAATATGATAATGAGCAAATGATTATGATATGCGCATGCAATATAGCCGTTGTGCTTGTACCCTTATACAGATGTTTTTTTTTACTAATACAATCTCCCTATTTTAATTTACATTTTCTTGTAACAAGAAAAGCAGCTCATTTTCGGCAAATGCAGTTTAGTTGTTTAATACAAAAAAAAACAAAAACAAATCTTTCTCCATCTAATTTTGACATTGTTTACACTCAATAGAAACTCGGATCAACATCTATAATAAAGTATAAATGTTTCTGGTCTAAATAAGGAATTAGTGAGCAACTAAAAAAATAAAATGAATTGCGTATACATAATGTATGTCATGACGGTGACTATGATCTTGACTACCTCATTTGATTTCAACCATATACATAGAGAGAAGCATCATGATGTTAACTCATAAATAACTTATTTTAAAATTCGTTTTCATAACATTATAATGACTTCATATTTTATATCTTTCACCCCTTTGAAACTAGTTTGGACAAGTGGGGTCCATTACCTTAGTGGAGTTCTCACATCCTAAGAAATGTAGATTCAAAGAAAATCTATCTCACCTTTCAAAGCAGCCGCTTGAGATCTTCTTCTCAACCTCTTCATAAGATAATCATGAAATCTTGAGGTTGAATGATGAGGAAAAAGCTTCTCAAGAACTCAAGCAGAAGTAAACTGCCTGGACTTTGATCTGAACTGTCATGGAATGTAGAAAGCTTGGAGAAAAGTAGTGTTCTTGAACTGAATTGTCATGGAATGTAGAAAGCTTGGAGAAAAGTAGAGTTCTTGATCTGAAGTCTCATGGAATATTGTAGAACCTTGTGTTGGTGTCGAAATACAAACCGTTTCCACCATAAGGACGATGATGAAGATGAACAGGAGGAGAAAGTTGCTGTGTCTTTGAGGAATCTAGAAACTGAGAGGTTGGTTTTAGACTTAAATCACGAAATGAGGCCTCTTCTCTTTGGTTAATAACCAGCAGATCCTTTCCCATCAGCCGCAACACCGGGTTTGAATTTGAAGGAATGGTGGGAACAGACTTACTCAAGAGATCCAAATCTTGTTGGATCCTGTGTGGTGGTGGTGGTGGTTGTCCAAATGTTGTATCTTCAAAAGCTTTCTCCTTTCTTTGGCAACAACATGACTGATCATCGTCTGTGAATCTGAAAGGTTTCTTGTCAATGGCAACCATGTTATCAAGACTTAATGTCTGTGTTTCAGGAGCTGCAAAGTTTGACATTGGTTCAGATGAATTTCTGTCAGTGAGATCAAGCTGATCTTGCGGAGATTGGACTTGGCTTGTGATAACTGAAGAGTTTCCATGAGTTTCAAATGCATCAGTTCCCATATCCCAAGGACTCGGTAAAAACGACCCCGGAGGTCCTGGAATAGGAATGGGATCAACCTCCATGAATGAGCTTCCTCCTTCTACAGTCTCACAACCAAGTTTCTCGTACATCATGCTTTCAAACTCAGCACCTGCATCATTGGTTTTGTCCAACATATCATCATCTCCTTCGTTATTACCAGTATCTTGGTAGCTTTCATAATCCTTGTCCTCGCTACTGCCACTAAACGAAGGATTTGAGCCTTGTAAGACCTTATCTGTTTCTTCATTATCACCCCAATCATCAAAATCTGTCAGTTCACGCTCTTGAGTCATCTCAGACTCCCATTTCCCTGTATCTTCTTCATCTTCGTTGTCTGAGAAATCCAACCGAGCTTTCTTCAACTTCATAAAGCCCTTTGCCTCCGATGCAAACACCTTATCCACAGGTGCTGAAGACATCAAGGGATTTGCTACAAATGAAGCACTTTTACTGCTTTTTCTCTTAGACAAAGCCCAGCTCTTTCCAGAGACTTGGCTCTCCCCACCAATTCTCCATGAGTTTTGACTGTTTAAAGGAGAAGAAACTGTCTCAGACAAATCAGTACCTCTTAGCACAAGAGAATCTCCTGACAATGAATGCCCATTCTCAGATGGCTGATCACAAATTGTCTCTTTCTTGTTTTCTTTTCTTGAAAGATGACGCTGACTTGGACCTGGAGTTTCTGACCTCTCCATGCCACTGCCTTCTTCCAAATATCCTCTTCGATCCTCCTTTACCTGTTACACAAGTGATATTTGTTAAACAATCTGGTGTGACTTCAAGAATCTAGCAACCAAACCAAGAATCCATCATGCTAATGCATAAACTATTAGAAAAAACTCTTAAAGGTTGAATGAGAGCGTACCTTAGAAGCATTGCCTTTACGAACACTGAGCTTTCTGCTTTGAGGAGCTGGTTTACAATGCTTGGACTTAGAAATTTTCTTTCCTTGAAGTCTTTTCCTAAAACGTTTACCTTCGCTACAAGATTTCTTCTCGCTGACATCTTCTTCATGCTCTCGTGATGGCTCAGATAAAATCCGCAGTTTTTGGCCCTTGTCATCAATGTAAACAGGTCCAATGCCAGCATCATCTTCATCAGCGCGAACACGCAACACTCTCTCCTTCTTCTTCTCTTTGTTGGACACTTCAGGCTTACCATCAGAGACAACACGGTTAGAGTAGCTAGAAACCATAGCCCATTTTGTTCCATTTCTTTTATCAAGATCTTCTATTGTGCATTCTTTTGCAGTAGCATAGATATCAACCATGGTTTTAACTTTCAACCGTGGCTTAGTCCTAGGCTTGTTTGGCTTACTCATTGGCTGCTCTATAGAGTCAACAGAGAGACACTGATCGATGTGAGCATTCAAAGTGGTGTTGGAAGCAGACGAGAAGGTTTTGCAGATGGGACAAGTTCTCAGAGCCATAGATTCAGAAGCTGCAAAAAGGCCACTATGATCTTCTTTTGATCCACTATCTCCACAAGCTCCAGGTTTCACAATAAAACCACACTTTTTTCTCTGATTCTTGTTAACGGTAGCTACTTGTATTTTGGAATTTGAGCCATTTCCAAAGCCTGCTTTAGTCTTTGCTAATATCTGATTGGAGCCAAGTTGCTCTAGTTTTCTCTTGTGACTTATTGCTTCGACATGAGTAGTTATGTTTGGCTTCTTAAATGACAAAGCTTCAGGAGGATGGCTAATCACAGAGCCAGGAGGCTGAATCGGTGGTAATGGATCAGTTAAGCCATGTTTCAAACAAAGTTGCAAACTTGTTGAGGAAAAAGGCCAACTTTTCTTGATGTTCTTGGTGCGGTAACTAAATGCATAATCTCTGCAGAAACAAAATCAAAACCAGCCATTAGTGATATAACAACCAGACAAAACAAAGGGACAGACTTTATAAAGAAAAAAACTTCTGAGAGACAAGACTAGACTCAACAAGGGAAAAGTTTGTTTCATTGATGATACTACTGAGCCTCGTTCAGATCAACAACACATGGTATGGACCAATGGATCAAAGAATAAAGAGAAATAGTCAAAACTCAATACCATTAAGCTTCACATAATCCCAGAAGGTGAAAAGAGAAACAAAAATAAAAACTTTTTTTTGATTTGAATCTGACCCATTAAGAAAATTGAATGGACGAGGATAAAAGATCTATTATCTGTTAAGAACAGACTCATCAAGAAAGCTAAAGACTTTGCCTAAAACAATGGTGTATTGACTTCTTCTTCTTCATAAAACCTCCCAAAAAAATCGGAGAGAAAAATGGGAAGAAGAAAAACTTTAAGATTACCTGATGGAGAAACTGGATTGACCTAACTCATCACTAGAGTTGGTCAGATGTAAGAAACTGGAAGAAGATGATAGATTGTTTGGAGAGCTTTGATCAGTGGATGATAAGAACATTTGATACTTCCACTGTTACTGTTCACCTTTCTGCTCTTCTGCATAACACCAGATCTTGGATTACCAAATTTGTGAGGCTATGAAACCTGAAAGAGGGTAAAAAGAAATGATTTTTTTAGTCTGTTTGATTTGAAGAAACCCCAGAAGAGGAAAGTGTAAAACTCAGGAACTTGAAGGAGACAAAATATTATTTCATGTGAAGGAGAGAAACAGAGAATAAAATTAGGATTAGTGGGTGAGATTTTGAAGTAACTGAGTCCGATTGGTGATGGATTTCACAAAATGAATAGTTAAAAGAGTGAATTTTGATTCCTAAACATTTTTCTGTTTCCTCAAAACATCAGTTTCCAATTTGATTCTGAGTGTTATTTTATGCAAGGAATCGTATGAAACTCAAAACATCACAATAAGAAACTAACAGATCAAGACTGTAGAAACCCCACTTGGGAATTTAAACAAGCATCTGGTGATCATAGATTCATAGACTAAAGATCACCGAGATTTTTTTCAAGAAACTATTGATTAAAAAAAAACAAGAACATTGAAAAAAGATAAGCAAACCATTTAAAAAAGTAGTTCCAGAGAAGGAATCTCTACTTGTTGATGAAATATGAAGAAACATGAGATTTAACAAGAAATCTGGCAAGAAAGAATGAAGAACACAATAAAAACAAAATCAAACCAAACCCTTGAAAAATAATTTGGATCATAAAAATACCAAAAAAATAATATGCATGCTTACCAGTTTCGAAGAAGAAAAGTTTGGATCTTTGAAACTCAACAAAGATTCAAAGCAAAGTAAGAACAAGATCGGAGATACAATGCAAAAAACTAAGAGAAAGAAGAAGAAGAGAAGAGAAGAGAAGAGTAGGGAGTTGTTCAAAATATGTTTCTCAGAGATCGAAAATAACACACACAAACCTTTAGAGGATTTGATTATTTCAAAAATGGTTTTGCTTGGCAGAAGAAAGATTTTCTTTGAGAGAGAGAGAGAGGGAGAGAGAGATGAACAAGAACCACGCACTACACATCAAAGTGGTATCAGGTTCCCTAAGTAATAAATTAAACAAAAAGTGTTTAATACAATAAGCTAAGTAAAGTTAAAATATAAAAATGGAAATAATTTTTTTTTTCTTGTCACTGTTCCTGTCGTCTGTCTGTAAGTGAGCTGTGTGAATTCCTAAACAGTTTTGAATTTTAAAAACCATTTCTCCATGCATGAATCCAAAGATTCTTAAATATTACTACCGTTTTTGTTATAATTTTCCATTCCTGAGCCTGAACACTAGAGAGGCTTTTATACGTTTGATTTGTGTTTATACCCAAAATGTAGTTATGTTTAAAATTTTGACTTAATTATATTAGTAAATTAAAAACTACTTATTTTAAGCTTAAGATTATGCATTTTGTGATATTACGGTTAAATGAAATGGAGCGAGGATCGTAGGCCATAGACAACACTTGAGAATATACCAAGGTGGAACCATATTTTGAGACCAAAGAGATCAAGAAATGTTGATTCTAATTCATCCACAACTCAACCATTGTAACAGTACATTAGAACAGGACGTCCAATTACTTTTGAAGAGATCAAACCATGGACTTAAAGAAAATGGGATCCAAATGGAATCAATGGTCAAAATAAGTGCTTGGATATGAGCTTTTTAGAGTTTTAAAAGGCTTATTTGTTGGCCTAAATATGGGATTTTTGAGATATATAGCTCTCCTATCTTTACTTTCTTTTAATTTGATGTATGTAGTATGCACGAGAATATTCTCTAATAACTTGAGGAAGTCTGTTCTTCTCGACTATACATCCACATGTAGCTCTGTTCGTGTTAGTTTATTCTAAAAATTAAACAATCATCCCCAACAGTTATACTTATAATAACAAATATTTTGGGTCACATTCTCTAGCTATATATGTGTGTGTGGAACTGTGGATGACTTGATACTATCAAGATATTATTTAATAAAAACAGAAAGAATACAAGCTCTTACATTTTGCAAGCTAGTAGATTAATTAACGGTTACATGATCCATAAAGTATGAACTACTACAGTATAAGATATTTTGTATGTATTGTTATTGTTATAGTTATAGTTATAGTTATTATATTACGGGTGTACTCCTTAGTCCTTATTTAGCAGCCATAATTATCGTTATCATCACGTTATAAGAGGAATTAAGAAAGGAGAAAAAGAGTGCCATTTGTGGAAACGTAAGGGCTAAACAAATGATGATTTTAGTCAAACATCGGGTCCGATTGGTAACGTAATGAATAGTGGTATATTACAGATATTTTGATGGTACAAAATATGACGTTACAAAAAATGATGGTACAAAATATAGTGGTACAAATAGTGATTTTGTAAAATATAGTACAAATATGAGTTCTGATTGGTAACATCATAGCAGTACAACCAAAGTTATTATAATTAAAAAACTATAATCAAATAGGAAATTTAAATAAATAAGAAAAACTATTTTTTTGTTTAAAAATAAGTATATTAACATTTTAATTCTTATTTGATAAAATACTATGAAAATTAAATGCGAATTAATATAGTGTAGATAATTTAATTTACACTAACAATTTTCATTGATTTATTAATCATCTCTCCATATATATGTTATTTAAAAGAAAAAAGTTGTTGAAAATGAATAATTTATCAACTTTTAACCAAAGCAAAAAAAAGCATTAACAGTTTTAGAAACTTTACTTTCAAAATATCAATTAGTCATCTAACGTAAAAGAATTTGTATCCTCTTCATTTTCTGACGGCGGCCCAAACGCATGAATATTTAAACATTTTAGTGGAATATTTTGTCCTTTAAAAAATAACTTGTACTATCATTTTTTTGTAATGCCCTCTAAAAGTATCATTACACTTGTACTATGGTTACAACCTTTGTACCATCATTTTCTTTTGTAATGCTGTCTTTTTTTGTAATGCCATATTTGTACTATCATCTTCATAATATCTCTATGAATGGTTACATTATGCACATTACAGTTTGTAATACTCCATCTTATTGTCACCAATCAAAGCCGCATTTTCCTCATAAGTCATATTCCATGCCCTATGGACTTATGGAGGTCCCATACTTCTTTCACTACACGACATTTCTTGTTTTGAAAAGAACTGAATGATAAATTTGATAAGTAATGGATTGAAGTAAGAAACCAGGAAAAAAGGAAGAACGAAATATAGCTTCTGTAGTCGCAATGATTAATCACAAGAACAGCTGTTATCTAGCTTTGGATTAACAAGTCCCACTTAATTATGTTTCACAAAGAAAAAACATTGCTTCGTGTAAGTTCTTAAGAATATAGTGAAAAATGCAAGCAAATAAAAAAACATAGAGTCTTTAACAAAAAAGAAGAATAAAAACACAGAGTGAGAAACAAGTGGTTGTAAATTCATTTTGATTGGAGTCGATTATAATGGATCGATATATCATATATATGGTGAAGAAATTACTTATTTCATGTAGAGTATCATCCAAAATATAAAGTATCAATATGTACATGTGTAATACATATATAAAAACATATCGCAACAAAAAATTTGTTTGTCGACTAACCTATACTAACTTTTGATTCAGAAGTTTCGATAGATACAAAAATATGCAAAAAATAATACTACCTATAAATGAAAAATGAAAAAACAAAGGAGTGTTAAGAAATATGAAATGTCCACATACGTGGAATTATCAATGGCATGGTGATAGTGTGGCCTGTCTAACTTTTTATGATGCTTTATTTATTGTGACGGAACGTAAATACACAATTTACAAATAATAGTATATTTCTTAGCCTTGAATATACAATTTATATACTACTTTTTTTTAACAGAAACACATATTATTCATTTATTTTTATCACCGGAGTACCAATTTACGTACGATTTTCAATGTGTGTTGGTCGAAAGAAAAATGAGTGAACCAAAATTAACGTCACAAATAAATCTGATCTTATTTGGTTAGGTATGAATTTGATTTTAATTCCATCAGGGTAGTTGGTCCACCACGATTTGTATTCTTTCAAATTCCATATTGCAGAATTCTATATTCAAATTCAAGTAAATGGTACGGTCTTATTCATGCTTGTCTTCAAAATAACTAAAATCCATGCGTACAAGAATTAATGAAGAATCACTACAACGATTTACACGATTATGCGACATACTCTGTTTTAATTTGGATATTGACTATATAATGAACTAGCCAAAATTTTGCATTATGCAATTGTTAACCCAAAATACTTAAAAAGATCATCAGCAAATAACAATAATGGAAAACGAAGATAATCATTTAGAAATTATATGTTGTGTATACACATGTGTTTGACTTATTGATCTCTTTAAATTCAATGAAAGTCCATTGAAAGTTCTTAACAGAAAAAAAAGATAAGAACACCCTTATTTAAATCAACTTTTCCTTTACCAATTACCATATCTATCACGATTCAAGTCTTTTAAAAGTTAAAGAACTGAATAGAGAAGTTACAAAGCAATGTTTTAAATTTGTTTGGACTGGTTTTAAAGTTTTCTATTCTTTCTGCATATATTTAAGGGAAATTGCAGTAGATAACTATATTTGGAGGTGTATTTGAGAATCTAACCATAGCAAACTGATAGCTACGATATTCTTTGTATTTCCTACAATATATACATAAAAGTCCTTCGATGGGAGAGAAATTTAAACTTTCAAATTTTAGGGCCATTTCCGATCAGGGTTTACGCCTCACTGAATTAGATTCATCATTATTCATCCCACAGAGAAAATTAGAAGAGCCAGTGGCGAAATCGGGAATCTGTCAGCACCCTTTGTTAGTCCGAAACTTTACCCTTCTTCTCTCTCGATTGCTGATTCCTATACGTCTGTATCACTGTGAAGCCAGTAGCGAGTTGGATAATCAGACCACCGACATATATCTCCGCCGCTGTAATCGTAAGTACGTCTACTGTAAATTATCTCCACCGCTGTGATCGTAAGTATGGCGCTTCTTCAGCTTCTGTTTGGACTTGGTGGTGCCGTTCTCGGTGTGGCTTCACTTGGGGAGGAGAGTGGCGTCTTGGCGCTCTCCTCTGTTGAGGTTTCCGATTGTCTCTCTACCTCTGCTTTCGTTTGCTCGACGGTTTTGGCGGCTTTGGACGGAGGTCTTCCATGGGGTGTGGTTCGACTAGATCTACAGGGTATTGTTCCGACTAGATCTATGTGGTGTGCTGATCTGGAGTCTCGAGAACTGGTGTGCTCTTGGCGATAACGGTCGCCGGCGACGGTGATAACATCATGTTTTATACTATTTGAAATCATGTACTATACTATTTTAATTGAGAATAGTTAAAAAAGCTTAAGATCTTCGATTTTGTAATTTGTTATTTTAGATTTGGATTCAGTTTATCAATCATTGTATTATAAATTTTGTTCCATTTTAATACAGAAAGATTCAGAGTTGTAAAGATATGTAACAATACTAAATGACTTAAATTGACTAATATACTTTTGTAACTCAAATTAATCCGATCGCAATATAGTTTTATCAATTACGTTCAGAATTATTGATAAACATAAATCATGATTGAAGACTAATTTTTAGGAAATCTTCAGCGCTAGAATCTAATCGCCAGCTTGCGATAACTAGGGTGAAAGAAATGGGAAAAGAAGTTTCCCGCTTCATTTAGGGAGAAAATGGGGTAAATTTTTTTTTTTTTGCTAGTCACTTAATTTTGTGTATAGCATAGCTATTTAATGTAGTTTTTTCCCCAATATTGTTATCTTCCAAATTAACCCTATATTTAATTCACAAAACGTGAGTATGGTGCAACAAATGGTTATTTAAAATGCTACACATGCAGATTATTAAGAAGTCCAGACTAACCAGCTTGTTCTAAGAAACTGCTCTTTTAACAACTTTTTGTTGACCGAGTTTCTTCAACCAACCTGGTCAAAATAAAAACGTATTGGCATTTAAAAAACAGTTCTCTTAATTTGTTGCGTACAAATGTTTTGATTTATATATGGCTTATACATTAATTGATCTCTTTAAATTTAGTAAAAGATTATTATATTAGGCTGATAAACTGAGACTAGTAATACCAACTTTTCTTTTCACCATATTTATCATATGATTGTGAGTTCAAATCCTGCTGGAATGAACTACATTACGATTGTTTCTGGATACCTATACATATATGAAACCCTATTTAGAGAGGATTTATCCGTGGGCTGCATTTCCTCTAGAGGATTAGTTTGGACCCATCCATAGATATAAGATTTACCCCTGATTTAAAAAAAAAAAAAAAAAAATTAAAGAAACTGAATAGAGAAGTTGCAAAACAACAAATGTTTATTTCGTTTCGAAACACGAGCAATATTTAACATTTATCTTGCATCATAGACGCACTAAATGTTTATTTTTTAGAATAGCTAGTAAACAAATTATTAAGAAACTGAGATAGACCACATCTTGCTCAAAGAAACCGATGTCTCTTGGCACTATCTTCTGAATCAAATGGAGAGCTCGGTCTTGGAGATCAAGATACCATCACTATCAGCATAAAGCCACTCTCCATCTCTAATCAAAGTTCCTCCAACATGAACAGGCACATTAGTCTCTCCATTACCTTTCTTGCTAGACTTCAACGGGTTAGATCCCAATGCCCTAACTCCAACATCGCAGTCATTGATCTCATCAACATCCCTAACGCATCCATTCACAACAATTCCTGCCCACCCGTTGTTCTGAGCTAACTGTCCCAGGTTTCCTCCGACAAGCGCGCATCTGGTGCTTCCACCACCGTCTATGACCAAGACTCTGCCTTCTCCTTTTGTCTCTAGATGGAATCTGACTAGGACATTGTCTTCGAATACCTTGAGTGTCACGATTGGTCCTGAGAAGCATCTTCTTTGGCCGTAGATCTTGAAATTTGGATAGAGAGCGCGTAGGTCGCCGTTTGATATTAGTTCTGCGTTGCTGTCACACGCTTCTGCGGTTGCAAATGCAGCCATTGGAGATTGTGTGTATGTGTCTGTGTTCTGCATTTTGAATCACCAAGAGTTGTGGATTTTAATAAGACATATCTAGGGAAGTGAAACAAACTAAACTAAACATAGACCAGAGTTTCATTCTCAAAGCACAAACAGCTTACAAAATGCAATGCCCTAAAGATTCCTAAGAGTTGACACTTGTGAAATCTAATTGCATCTACTGAATTGATGACTGTCTGCTTAAGATCATGAAATAAATCTGACATATTAAAGGTATGTAAGATAATTTTACTAAGCAAGAAAACAATGAATTCCCGGAAATCAAACCCATTTGGTTTCACAAAAATGGAGAAGCTATTTTACTTTAAAGTTTGAACCTTAATTTTTTTTTCTGTATAAAGAAGGGATTTTAGAGCTGTTTCTAGTTTTGTCCGAAGAACAACGCTAACTTATACGGCGGGAATAGTACAACCAACAATGACTAGATCCAGACGAACCTTCTAAAAATAGACTTCAAAACTTCGAAACAAAATTTCTTGAAGCAGACTCAATTTTACTTTTATCAGATTGAAACAGAACCAGCGACGAAGATCGTTTTTTTGGAGCAAGACATCAACTATCAAGATTTCTTAGGACTTACTTAGCTTTCATCACCACAACCAAACATATGTCAACCTCTTTCGGGATTTCAACAAAAAGCAATTCGTTCACACCGGCATGAGCACACGACAGTTAAAAGTAACAACTGTACAAGCAAAGGAAGAAGTAGAAAAATTACCAAGGAGGGAGAGAGAGAGATTAGAATTCCAAAGCTTTCGGCTTTCTGCAACAGATCAGTGTTCCAAATTCGCAACGAAGCTATTTACATGTATATGCATCGACCCAAAAGCAAAGGGTAAGGTCAGCTTCCTCGTGTCAGGCTATCTACATCACCATAGAAACTTGTGCCATTAGAGCCACTTGGTCTCTCCTATCGTCAACTCGTCGGTACGGGTTTTTTAGTCCGACTTGTTTTCTTCGGGTCGGGTCATTGACTTTTGATTCTGCTCGTCTGATAGTCAAAACGAGTCCGTTGGGTCATTTCCCTAATATTTTATTCAATTTAAGCTGTAATGGGCCTAATGGGCCGAGGGATGTAGAGTTTATAAAACCAAATGTTATTTTTTTCTCACTTCCTTCCGTGTGGGTCTGTGTGGGGTCTACTAACTGACAGGAAATCAGAGCCGTCGATCCTCTGTCCTTTCAAAGTTCGTTTTGCGGGTCCCACTGGGGAAAAAAATCTGTAAGAAGGAAAAGAAAGGTACACCACGCCACAACCGTGCTTTGGCCTGTCACATGAGTGTAATCTCACAGCCCAGTAACGGGATAATTTGCGGCTCTTAAAAAGGTATAAAAAGAAAAAGGAAAAAAATTAAAATTAAAGGCTTGGTCAATGTTTCTTTTTGACCGGGTTTTTTGGAAAAACTGCCTCCCCAATTACCAATTAAATATTCAATTTAAGGTATAATTAAAGTCATTGATTGATTCCATTTTAGTTAATGTCTCCATATATTTTACTAATACAAATCTTCCTTATTATCTAAACGACTAAACCTTAACGTACGTTAGTCTTTCCTTTTCCTCCTTATTCATTCCATAGTATTAACAAATTATTATTTTTAAGTATTTTTTTTTAAAACTGTATATACAGTATATGTTTACTTAGGTTTTACGAAGATACAAACGTTAACGTATCTCAAATATTTGTCCGAAGTGTACAGTACTTTTCTTTATTTTTTCGGTTATCGTAATCCATTATTACGAGTTATGTACTAGATTTAATCTACATTAGATTTTCTTAAGCACGTAGTAACTAGTAAGATAAGCAAGCAAGAAAGAAACATCTGAAAATTTACAAGGGATCTAAACGTATCTCCTATATTGTTATTTAGGTTGTTACGTTTCATCTAAAAGGCCTCGTGTAAATCACATGCATGCATGTAACAGGACAAATTAAATTAAAATAAAATAAAATCACATGCATGTATGAGAACATGTCAAGTTCAAAATTATATAGTTATACGTCTTATTGATTGAAGTTGAAAGATTTGGTTGCCATATATATCTATATTGCGTCTCTAGCTTCATACATATATTAGTTTTAATGATGATTTGGGTACGTAAACATGGATAGACTACTAATTTAATCATCCTATAATCTAGGTCATACAAAAATATATATGATTTTAGTAGCTCATTGTATAGTAACTGATTTACACAAACACGTTTTGACTTTTGGATGTAAATATATACATGTCACAAGTATAATAATATATATATATATATATATACTTCAGTTGAAGATTTGTAGGTTACTTTAACAGTTTTTTTTTGGTAAAAGTCTTTAAAATACTAGCCATTTCAAAATGCTATATAGCTATTTGATATATTTTCTTCTGCGGTGACAACATTTTGACAGATTTTCTCCCTTTTACTGAATTTTCTAGCACAGTTATACACACCTAGACTAAAAATAGCTTGCAAAATAGATTTTCTGTTCCACAATTTTCTAACTAATGTGACCCTTATAGTAAAAACAACAACCTGCTTTAAATTTACAATTAACTTTTATTTGCTCTTGTCCTTAATATGGTAATCCAGTTTTCCTTTTCAGCCAGTTTTTGGAATTTCATATGAATTGAACCAATATAGTACCATGTTCACTGTAACAGAATAATCAATTAGTTTTTTTTCCTTCTTAATCAGACATGTGGCAGAATAGGAACTTTTGGGCAATAATTCCTGGTTTTTTCAATAAATTGTATTTCTATTAATAACCAACCCGCAAAAAATGAATTTGGAAGAGAAATAATAAATGTTAAAAGTTGGCAGATAATTCGTTAAAGAGAGATCACCTGTGCGACGCCTCACGGTAACGCTCATTAAACAGCCAACGATCTTACTCTCTCACCTTGATTGTTCCACGTGGCGCCTTTCCATAGGAGAATTTAATAGAGAGAAAAACGCTTTGTGTATGTGGAACACGAATCACCATCTTCACCATTCTCTGCAAAAACTTTATTCCTCCTCCTCAGTAACAATCAGAAAAAACGATCACAATGGTCTCATAATTCTCTCTCTATCTTTTTTGTTCCTTCTTTTTTCAAAGATTCCTGTGCTCACCCACAAGCCGGTTTTTTTCTTCTTCTTCAGATTAGTTTTTGTTTCAACAATTGAAAGCATAATATACGCAAACAAAAAGGTTGGACTTATTTGTTCGTTTCGGTGGTGAGAAAGTCACAGTGATTAATCTAATTTTACTGTGAAATCTCTGTCTTTTTGTCAATAATCATCATCATTTTGTTCTGGGTAAAGGAGAAAACTTTTTTTTTTCCTCGTTTTGGAGAGAGAAGTTTGTACAGAAATTTTGGATTTTTCTTCCTTTGTTTTTGTCTTTCTGGGTTTGTTGTGAAACCCAGAAGAACAGGGAAAGGAAGAGGGAAAAAAAAATAATATACATCTCTGTCTTCTTCAGTGCTAAATTCGGATCCGAGTCGGGTGGGTTTTCGTATTCGGTGTCGGATCAGAGCCCAGTTGGATGTTAGCGACGGACCTGACGATTTCCGTTTGCGGCTGCGGCGGCTGTGACGGTGTTTGTGGTTCGTCGTCTTCAAATCAATCAGGTAAATGGTCTCAAACGATTTTGATATTTTTTCCCATTTTTGTTTGTTTGTTTTCATATTGTGATTTGATTTTTCATTTTCTCGAAATGTTTTGTCTGTAACTTAAATTTTGGATTTTGAATTTGATGAAAGAACCATGATTTGTTTAATCACCTTTGGTTTTTGCTTACCGTCAGGTTTAAGCTATAATTTGACGTTGTCTTTTCTCTTTTTAATCTCCGTCATTCGATCCTTTTGTTTCAGCTAATGATTCATCTCCAAATTTCTCGAAGCTCTTTCGCTAGAATCTAAAATTCTCTGTTTCAATTTCGTGAGATTCCATGAAAGTGGCTTAACGTGTGTAAAAGAAAAAAATCTTTTTTGTTTGTTTATATAATGCTTCGTTTTCTTACATTTTTCGTTTTGTCTCGATGAATTATATTTAAATTTATTTTGTTCGTCTCCTCAGCAAAAAAAAAAGGTTAAAACTTTTATTCCAGCTCACTTGTTCACTAACAATTGTCTCAAATCATATTTGTGTTAGTTAACTAGATTTTATTGTGTGTTGATTGATTCTGTAGATTCTGTGATTTGTGATTGAGCAAGTCTTTCTATAATGTTTCAGGAGTTTCATCTCAGTTCACGCAAAGACTCACTCAAATTCTCTGATCTCAAATGGCCGGTTTTGATGAAAACGTTGCAGTAATGGGAGAATGGGTGCCTCGTAGTCCTATCCCCGGCACACTTTTCTCCGCTTCGATCGGAGAAGAGAAGAGCTCGAAACGTGTTCTCGAAAGAGAGCTCTCTCTGAATCATGGTCAAGTCATTGGTTTACAAGAAGACACCAACAACAATAACAACAAGGACTCTTCACAACATGCCAACATTTCACGAGGTGGTTTAAGCGAGCGAATCGCCGCTAGAGCTGGTTTCAATGCTCCGAGGCTAAACACTGAGAACATGCGCAATAACAACGACTTCTCCATCGACTCTAATCTTCGTTCTCCTTGCTTAACCATCTCTTCTCCTGGACTTAGCCCTGCAACGCTCTTGGAATCTCCTGTCTTTCTCTCTAATCCATTGGTAAGCTCAAAGTTGTTTGCTTTTCTTATAGAGCTTCTCTCTGAAAAGTTTCTGACTTTTGCAGGCTCAACCATCTCCAACTACAGGGAAATTCTCATTTCTTCCTGGTGTTAACAGTAATGCATTGTCTTCTGATAAAGCCAAAGACGAGTTCTTTGATGACATTGGAGCATCCTTCACTTTCCATCCGGTTTCAAGATCATCTTCTTCTTTCTTCCAAGGCACCACAGAGATGATGTCAGTTGATTACGGTAACTACAACAACAACAACATAGCTTCTCATCATCAATCTCCAGAGGAAGATGTGAAACCTGGTTCTCAAAACGTGGAAAGTTCCAACCTTTACGTGACTGACACTAGTACTGATCCAAAAGGACAGAAGAGGAAGTCATCTGATACCACAACAAACACGACCGTTGACCATCAAGAAGAGGAAGAAGTAGAAGAAGAGCAAAAACGCTGTGGTGATTTGACTGTTGGTGGTGCACCTGCAGAGGATGGATACAACTGGAGGAAATATGGACAGAAGTTAGTGAAAGGAAGCGAGTATCCGCGAAGCTATTACAAGTGCACAAGCCCGAATTGTCAGGTGAAGAAGAAAGTTGAGAGGTCAAGAGAAGGTCACATCACTGAGATTATATACAAAGGAGCTCACAACCACTCTAAACCTCAACCTAATCGCCGCTCGGGGATGCAAGTAGATGGAACTGAACAAGTTGAACAACAACAACAACAGCAGCAGAGAGATAACGCTGCGGCGTGGGGTAATTGTAATAACACTCAACAACAAGGTGGGAGCAATGAGAACAATGTGGAAGAGGGGTCTACAGGATTCGAATATGGAAACCAATCTGGATCGGTTCAAGGTCAAACCGGAGGTCAGTTTGAGTCAGGTGGTGATGCTGTGGTTGTGGTTGATGCATCGTCAACTTTCTCTAACGATGAAGATGAAGATGATCGAGGGACTCACGGAAGTGTATCTTTGGGTTATGACGGAGGAGGAGGAGGAGGAGGCGGAGGTGGAGAAGGAGATGAATCCGAGTCGAAAAGAAGGTTCTTTTTAAAATGCAATTGTGAAACACCATGAATCAGTAAGTATGTGAATGTTTTCTGATCCTAAAGTTGTGGTTTTTCAGGAAACTTGAAGCTTATGCAGCAGAGATGAGTGGAGCAACAAGAGCCATACGTGAGCCAAGAGTCGTTGTGCAGACAACGAGTGATGTTGACATTCTTGACGATGGATATCGCTGGAGAAAGTATGGTCAGAAAGTTGTCAAAGGAAACCCAAATCCGAGGTTCTTTAGCAATCCTCTGTTCTTGAAACATGTAGAGAGAGAGCTCCTCTGTTCTTAGACCAATGTTCTTAAACCAAACCACTTTAGATGATAAAGCTTATATTTTTGCAGGAGTTACTACAAATGCACAGCTCCTGGATGCACAGTGAGGAAACATGTGGAGAGAGCTTCTCACGATCTCAAATCCGTTATAACCACTTACGAAGGCAAACACAACCACGACGTCCCCGCCGCGCGCAACAGCAGCCACGGAGGGGGAGGCGGTTCAGGCGGAGGTAACGGTAACAGCGGCGTCTCAGCGGCTCAAACGCACCATTACCACAACGGGCTTCACTCGGAGCCGCCGCGTGGTAGATTCGACAGACATCTCACGACGAACAATCAGTCTCCGTATGGCCGTCCGTTTAGCTTTCAGCCGCATTTGGGTCCGCCTTCGGGATTCTCGTTCGGTTTAGGACAAAACGGTTTGGCTAATCTTTCAATGCCTGGTTTAGCGTATGGTCAAGGGAAAATGCCGGTTTTGCCTCACCACCCGTATTTGAGTCAACAATCGGTTGGGATGAGTGAAGCAATGATGCAGAGAGGAGGGATGGATCCCAAGGTTGAACCGGTTTCGGAAACGGGACAATCGGTATATAACCAGATCATGAGTAGATTACCGCAGATTTGAACATTTTATTACTCTTTTCTTCTGCATTTGCTCGGTCTTTTATAATTTAACTTTTAACTTTCTGTTTCTTTTTCTTTAATTTATTGGTTTCAAACTTTGGGGAAGGTTAAGTTAAGGCTGTTCTTAAATTTTCATTCCTTTGTTTCGTCTTTTCTTCTCCTTAAACGGCTGGTTATATCTTACTGTATTAATTATACAAGCAATCAAGAGAGAAAGAAAAAGAAAAGGAAAACAAAATTTAGTTTTATTAGAGGAAGCATTATATGACAAAATTAACAATAATTAGCTAGATATCAGTTGCAAATTTTATGTTTGGATCTCGTCAAACATCCTTATTCTACTGCAAATATAGAACCAATCTGCCCAAAAAGTTGATTACAGTTACTTTTGTGTCAGTGATGTTACTGCACATTATTAAATTGGGTAACAGCACATTTCAGCATATCCTATCATTTGACAAATTTCGCATGTATCATGTTTATCACGTACCATGTTTTTGGTCATCTTTCCTTTTAAGTAGCTACATGTAGATTGTAGACGAGAGAAGAAAATAAGCACATGCATATATGCATTGCACACGTGGGCAAAGACACAGAAGAAGGACATAAGCCCAACTCTAAGGCCTGCCTATAGATGTAACAAGCGCCTAAAAAGCTTCAAAGTTCAAACCTTCAAATATTTTCTCATTAATAACAGAAACTTATTTAACGACCAAACAAGAATTTGCAAATTGAAGCAGAAGCTTTCTGATAGACAGAGGAACAGTGAAGAAGGCAAGCCTAGGCCTGTTTGGTCTCTGAAATTTTGTTTTGCCGTCTGAGTTATAGATTATCTCAGAGGCAAATTCAAAAGAAGTTTCTGGAACCAAGAGAAGATCTTTTAGAACTAAAAATCGCAGGAAAGAATCGTTTACATGAATGCAGTTCTTCCACCTCTTCGAGTGTTTCTTTCATACGCAGTGTTGAATTTGTCAACCATCTCGTTCATGGTGCTGCAAATTGAACAAAACAAATGACAAATGAAACAGAGTTTATAAAGGCCAAATATAATTGCAATTTCTAAAATTATTCGCTTGTCTATAAATGTGCTTACGGATATTATAAATAGAATGTTGCATAAGGTACAAACCTGGAACAATTCGTAATCATTGCTAGGTAAGTTATGAGTAATTTGTCATTGTACTCCTGCGAAAAGGAAACAGGACAGCATAAGTTGATATATATATATATATATATATATATATATATATCTAAGAACTAGATTAAAAAGAATCAAATGCAAATCTAACTCACCATCAAGAAATTATCTTGAAACCGTTCTGATTCCATGGCAGGCAACCTTCTTAGCAGGCTAGATACTTGTCTCAGAAGAGAGTTCTCACAAGGAATATCACCTAAGAAATTAGATCCCACGAGTCATTATCCTTAGCACCCAAAGCACTAAACTACACAACTTTCTTTCTATATCTTCCATCTATAATCATCAACTGGTGACACAAAACCTCGGTGATGAGAATATAGAATATAAAAATACCTTTCTGCATTGCGGCAAGATATTGATAGAGCACTCTGATTCTGCTATTAAGCATCTTGATGGCACTATGTATGCCAGTAAGATGAGCAGCCACTGCATATCGAATAGTAATCAACCAAACTTCATTGCAACCGAAAGAAATGGATTATGATTAGTATGAGAGACAAAAGACTCACACTGAGTCGCTGCTGAACCTCCATCAGATGGTTTGAGATGTGCAACGTGATCGACTGATATCCGCTCAGCTTCAACTGTCTGTTTCGGTTTACATCTCAAGCCTTTCAGTCAAGTTCCACTTTTCATAACATATATTAACTATAGAATTAAATCAAACTTAAGCACAGACCTCGATTGTGTAGCTTGTAAGAGCAAAAATTAGCTGCGGGATTCCATCAATGACGTGCAATTCTTCAAGTAGTCAAGATCAATCAATGCAAAAACAGAAAAGTTAAGATCTTAAAATCAGGAAGTCAATAAAGATAAAGACTTGGTACGACGATATCTAGAAACTCTTGATATCCACAGAACCATGTGTGTAGTTATTTATAATCACATACCACTTTCATAAATAGTCACTGGGAGATCTTTCTGTGCGTGGTTGATGGCAGGGTTTAGAAGCACATAAACAGGAGATTCATTAATATCCATTAACTGCCACCATGAGCAGACACGAAAAAAATCACATTTTTCAGTACAGTGACACCAAATCTCAATCATACAATACATTACAGATTAAAGCATGGACTCACGGCTTTGTGGATATGCATATCAGATTCCTCAGCGTCGCTTCCAGTAGAGTACCATCCCAAAATGTAGAATTCAGGGAACACCTTCTTGTCTAATAAACAAGAAGAACCAATCAAAACCCATTAAATTTTATAAAACAGCTCACATTCTCTTTTTTTTTATGATTGTTGTGACGAACAAAGGGACAGAGAGTGAGCTTACAGAGCTCTTGCTTCTTCTCGAGGAAGGGTCTATCGAGGGTTTGAGAAGAAGGATCGTACAAAAGCTCGAAACTGTTGAAGATCTCTACCGTACGGCCTTTCTGGACACCGATTACACATCCGTAGACCCTAGGGCTCTCCTGTAGCATTGCTTCGCCGTTGTTGGAGCCATTCCCGCTCGAGCAGACTGAAGGCGGAGGATTGAGCTGAGTCTTGACTCTAGTGTAGTGATCCGATATGTTGACGATTACCAGAGGATGCAGCTTGAAGGTCAAACCACTCGACGACGATGGCGCCATTGTTGTCTGTCCCTCTCGTCCGATGAAATTCCTTTCTTTTTTTGTTGCTTTTCTATGAAAAAATCAATCTCAACTCGGATCCTATTTCGGGTTATCGAGACATCGAACCGGGTCAATGAAATGGTTATACTTTTTCCGCATGGGCCGGGCTGAGCCTCATTGGGCCTCAAGAAGATTTAACTAGGGGTAAAAGTAAAACCATTTCATTCTTTTACCGTTCCGAGAAAAAAGGAAAATTTCTATCTTTTCCGAAAAAAAAAAAAAAAAAAGAAAAAAAGAAGCTTGGTGCCGAAGACTCTCTCTCTCACTTCTCTTACATTACATTAACAGCTTTCACTTTCAACTAAAAGGTTTTGCTTAAAAGCTTGGAGCCAAAGCTATTACAAGAAATCGATCGTTCTATTGCAATGGCGGGGCCAGAGCTGTACTTCGAAAAGTTTCTCGGAAAAGGTTCTTTTGGTTCAGTGAGTCTCTTCAAATACAAGGGAAAACGCGACGGCAAAACCCTTTACGCCGCCGTTAAAACCTCCGACGATGAGTCTCTCCACAGAGAGTTTCAAATCCTGTCGGAATTCAAAGGATGTTCAAGAATCGTTCAGTGTTATGGAACCAAAGTGCAAAGATTCAACAACGACCAAGGTAACGTAGAGTACGAGATCAAGATGGAGTATGCACCTGGAGGAAGCTTGAGGAGCTTCATCAACCGATACAGAGACAGGAAACTGCCTGATCCTATGATCAGAGCGTTTACGCGTATGCTTCTCGAAGGCTTAGCCGTGATTCACGGACGTGGCTATGTTCACTGCGATCTAAAGCCTGAGAACATCCTTGTTTTCCCGAGTTGTGTTTATGAGGACGGCGCGTGGAGATCGTCTTTGGAGCTGAAGATTTCTGATTTCGGTTTGTCGAGAAGAGAGGGAGACAGCGAGTGGTGGCAACCTGGTCGTCGGTTTGCGGGAACACCGATCTACATGTCGCCGGAATCGGTTTCTCACGGAGAGACAGAGAAAGGTCTTGATCTATGGTCTTTGGGATGTGTGGTGTTGGAGATGTACACAGGAAAGAGACCGTGGTGGCATAAAAACTACGATTTAGAGGATCTTGAGAACTGTTACGAGCCACTGATTCCAAGTGATCTTCCTTCCGATGCAAAACTCTTTATCATGACTTGCTTCGCGCTGGAGACTGAAGACAGGAAAGACGCGTCGACATTGTTGAGGAGTAGCTTCTTGCGTGGACAAGTCAGTAAGATTACAAAGCCTCAGGTGAATGTGAAGACTGATGATCGGAGGAACTTTGCTCTGGAACTAGAGAATATTAGAGAGAGACTTTCAGAAATTAGGAGTATTTGTGTTTAAGCTTGTGGAATTGAAGTAGCCGATATTCGATGTAATCATGTAACACAAGTAAGACCATCGAGACCTCTAAAATGTCCTAGATTTTTTTGATTAGTAGAATTCTGTAACAGTTTTTGGTATATCACTGAATTTCAAGGTATTGGTCCATGTAATATGACCTTATTTCTATGGAAAACACTTTGAGAAGTTATGTTACTGGATTTCTTTTCTTCATGCTTACTATAAATGTAGGAAATTTTAATCTAGACGATACAAATTTGCTCATCTTGGATGATAACTTTGATCATTCACAAAAAAAAATTGGTTATTAGAAATACAGATAAGGTAACAAATGTTTTGTTTTTTTGCACAAGATTGAAAGAAAATGTGTTGGTGAGCCTAAAAATGTGTGTGGCGTGGATAATATATAAATATATTAAATCAGCAAAAATTATAATTCTGTTTTTACGAAGCTGGCCAAACAAACAAACACAAAAAGAAAAAAAAAAACACCGCCACGACAGAAGCTAATAGATTGGGATTTGGGAGGTTGATGATCAATTTCAGAGTGGTGAGGAACAATTACTAATAGACTCGACGACGGTTGTCGCGGCGGAGTAAAAAAGCCAAGCTGTAAAACATGGCGATGAGAGACCTTGTCAACGGCGGAGCCGCCTGTGCGGTTCCGGGTTCGTCTTCCTCTTCCAACCCTCTCGGAGCTCTCACCAACGCTCTACTTGGTTCCTCTTCCAAAACTCAGGTTAGCTTCGTGATCGAATTTCGTAATTGATACAAATCTCCTTAATCAATTCTCGCTATCGTCGGTTCGAGCTCGAAGTCGAAGTAGATCTCATTCTTCAGGGGTTTTAGATATTGTTCTTATCGCTATGAGCATACGTTATCTGTACTTAAGTATTACAAATTTACAATTACAATTTTTTTTTGTTTTTGCTATAATTCGATTATGTCATGTGAATTTTTATTCATAATCTTGCTGACAAATTTTGATTGTGCTCTACATTTCCTGAGAATTTCAAGAATTTTTTGATGATGATGGCTGATTTGGTGTGCAGGAAAGGCTCAAGGAGATACCTAATGCCTCCCGTTCAGGTCCTGGGCCACAGTTTTACTCTGAAGACCAACCGCTGAGGTCACTTCCTGGTTCTGAGTTAGATCAGCCGATTCTGCAACCGGGTGCTCAGGTTAGAGCTGTGCAAAGTTGTAATTTTTATAATGTTTGTATTGACTCTGATTTATCTAGCTTTTGTGATGGCTGATGGGTTTGCCAAATTTTTACATCAGGGGTCAGAGTTCTTCCGTGGCTTCCGTTCTGTAGATCAGAATGGTTTTGGTGCGGCTTGGGATGAGGTACAGCAAGGCAGACCTATGCCTCCATTGGGACCTATGTATGAGCCAGTTCAACCCACATTTGAAGGTTTGTGATTTGGTTTATATATTGTGGTTTTGATGTTGAATAAAAGGTGATATCTTTTTAACCTATTCATCTTCAGTCGAGAAGTAGATAACATTAGTTTTGTGGGAAGAAAATTTAACAGTAAAAGTGTTTCTTCCATTGATTATTTATTGCAGGACCACCACAGAGAGTCTTGTCAAGCTTTCTGCATTCATTTGTTGAGAGTAGCCGTGGTGGTGTTCCCTTTCGTCCAGCACCTGTGCCAGTGCTGGGATTGTCACAAAGTGACAAACAGTGCATACGTGATCGTAGTAGCATAATGGCTCGGCATTTTTTTGCCGATAGGGGAGAGGAATTTATTAATGCTCAGGTTTGCTGTTTATCTGATAGTTTTCCGTAGCTGTTTATATTTTGGTGTTATATCATTCATTTCTGTCGCCCGTTAGCAGTAAGAGATTAATTCAAATATACAAAGAAGTGAAACAACAATAGAATTCATGTCCACCCTCCTTGATCTTAAATTCGTATCGAAATATAACATGATGGAATAGCACTGTCACTATCATATATCACAATCATCTGTGGGTTAGGGATTTTGTTTGAGAACTATTGCTGTTGTTTCACTTGGTAACTCTTACTATCTAGTATGGACTTTCTCAAGACCATGCCAGCTGCGTTGTATGGTTAAGCCTTTTTATGTTGCCAAGATTTTGCTTCTCCTTGAATATTTGCTTTTCTGCTTCTTTTTTCCATATTGATGGCTGGATATAAATTTTTCTACATTGTTTTTCTAGGTAAACGCATTATTGTCGTCTTTAGATATCGACGATGGGATACAAGCTAGAGGTCATATTCCTGGGAGATTTCGGGAGCTAGATGATTATTGGAATGAGTCTCAGGCTGTTATGAAACCTAATTTACATCCTGGTGACAATTGGGCGTCTGAATTTAACCAACTTGGGATGGATCATGGTGGTCCCGATGCATGGGTCCAGTCTTTTGAGCAACAACATGGTGTGAATGGGTGGGCCACCGAGTTTGAACAGGTAATTTGCATAACAGCTATATGATATGAAATTTTTTCTCCAGTTGTTTGAAATTTCCTTTGGATTGTCCATGCCAAACATATGTTTGATAAGCTATCAATGAGCATCATTGAAATATCTAGAGCTTCTAATTAAGTAAAGTGTAGGCTTTTGATTTGATAGTCGCAGGGGTGTGGTTGTTAAAATGCCTGAATCTTTTGTGACTTGTTTATGATGTAGTAGTCATCAGTGTTTGACTCGCATTTGATTTGCCAATACCTTGGCTCTCTGATAATTTATAACTGTCTTCTGAGATATTTGGCGTCTCATATTTTCATATTTTTCTTGAATTTTGGAAGGGTCAATCTCAATTGATGTCAAACCAAATGAGAAATATGGATATGCAAAATTTAGCTGCAATGGAGCAGACTCGTAAACTTGCCCATACACTGTCTCAGGATGGGAATCCGAAATTTCAGGTTGGTGTAATCTACCATTAACAATCATGTGCTTTCAAAACAAATTCATTCGTTTTTAAACAGCCTTTGATAGTAGTTTCAGTCGGTCAGGTTGTAGTAAACTGTACTATTGGATAGAACGACATATATTTTATTTAGGCTTTTCTGATCCGTTATGGCCATTGCTGACATCTTTTACTGCACATGGAAAATGTTCTAGAATTTGAAGATCTCTGAAATTATATCCAAAGTTTACATTTTCATTTTAAGGATGTTATGCTTTTCCTCTTGACCTGATTTGCTGATCTGTTTTCTTGAGACTTATGTATAAGCGTGGCAAAATGTTTGGTGGATGCAGAATTCAAAGTTCCTCCAATTTGTTTCAAAGATGAGCCGCGGTGAACTTATAATTGATGACAATCAGGTCAAGCAAGGATCAGCCCCTGGGGAATGGGCTACTGAATATGAACAGCAGTATCTGGGGCCGCCGAGTTGGGCTGATCAATTTGCAAATGAGAAAGTATGTACTTGTTTAATAATAAAGTATCTGGTCTTACTTACTACTGATAGCATGCTAGTGTAGTTGATTTGTTTCTATACCTTTTTCTTGAATGGCCTTTATATCCAGAACTGAAGCTCATGATTATAGGTTTAGGTGTTATAGTGGATCTCGTTCGTTTTGTTGTTAGTAATGTCTCCAAAGCGGAAAGGCTTCAGCTTAGATCTAATGTTGCACATTTTCGCAATGAAGTGCTTCCTTGTACTTACAGAATATGAAGCCCTGACATGTTAGAAACTGTTGGGACAACATATCATCTCTTTCTTTTTCAATTGGAAGCATCACCTTGCAACTACTATAAACTTCTAATTTGGTGTGTGTTAGCTTTCACATGGACCAGAACAATGGGCTGATGAGTTTGCTTCCGGGAGAGGGCAACAAGAATCAGCTGAGGACAAATGGGTTAATGAGTTTTCGAAGTTGAATGTTGATGACTGGGTAGATGAATTTGCTGAAGGACCCGTGGGTGACAGTTCAGCTGATGCGTGGGCAAATGCTTATGATGAGTAAGTCCACTGTTCTCTAATTGATCTATTAAAGGTCTCTTTTTCATTATGCTTTGTGCTTTCGTAAATATTATGAATCAAGTAATTTTATGCTCCCTTTCAATTCCGTCTCCATTGCAGACACTATGGAAGTTTTAAACCATTTGTTACTTTTCTCCTCTGCATTTTTCTCTGGTTTCTTAATGTTTCCTTAGACGCAAATTTTGCAACTATGCCAATACTTTGCTATCGCTAAATTTCACGTTTCATGTTTACCGTTACTGCCTCGCCTATTAGCTAATGGATTATATATGATAACCCCTCCTAATTCTTTATCTATGGAGTCATTAACAATGTTCATCAAACATGCATCTTCGACTTTTAAGTCTATCTAACGAAAGTCTTTGCCTCTCCAGGTTTCTGACTGAAAGAAATGCTGACAAACAGACTAGTGGTGTCTACGTTTTCTCTGACATGAATCCTTACGTGGGTCACCCTGAACCTATGAAAGAAGGTCTGGAATTGTTTCGCAAAGGGCTCCTGAGTGAAGCAGCGCTTGCCCTAGAAGCTGAGGTTATGAAACACCCTGAGAATGCTGAAGGTTGGAGATTACTTGGGGTCACACACGCAGAGAACGATGATGATCAACAGGTTAGTGAGATCAATTTACATGAACAGTTAACTAATAAAATAAAAGAGTTTACTTAAATTCATTTTTCAAAAAAATTGTCGTCGTGGATGCAGGCAATAGCTGCAATGATGCGTGCACAGGAGGCCGATCCATCAAATCTAGAAGTGCTTCTTGCGCTTGGTGTGAGCCATACCAATGGTCAGTGCTTGCAATCAGTGCTTGCAATCTAGAAATCTGTGTTTGTTTTGTGACATTATCTTGTTGATCAATATGGATACACGTGGTCATACATTTTTAATATTAAAGAGGTGACTAATACCTTGTCCTATGTAAATTCAGAGTTGGAGCAAGCAACTGCCCTCAAATATTTATATGGATGGCTGCGAAATCACCCAAAGTATGGAGCAATCGCGCCTCCAGAGCTAGCTGATTCTCTATACCATGCTGAT